TCTGTACAAAAGAAATAGTTTCTTGTGGGCAATCCGAGTGGAGAACCCATAGGAGCTCCTGCAAATATAATAATTTCCCTCTGGAATTATTAAAGTATTTCTGATTCTGATTCTGATTCTGAAATGGACACAGGGAAGACAAAAGAACAAACAAGCGACAAAAGCAACAACACTGGTGGCAGGGACATTAGTGAGCTTCTCAGAACTGTGCAGCAACTGTACATAAGCTTAAGGAGGCGTGTGTCTGGGTTACTGACACACGGTCAGTGAGTTGTCAGTTTACTCTTAAAGAACTTGGTGAGGGAATGGTACATGCCTGACGGCGTGGACGATGCTGTACTAGTCGTGCCTGCCAAGGCATAAAGGGGAAAATCACGTAAACTGTACTAAGCATGAGGACACAGACTTGGTTGTGCCTGACCAAGCATTGAGGGAAAATGAATTAAGGCTGATGAGGCGTAGAGAGAACTCGCCCATGCCTGACAACCTGTAGAGTGGGAATGATTTATACCTGGCTAGGCATGGAGGATGAGAATGAGGCCTTGCTCAGCTGGTTGTAGAGGGGAAATTCGAGAGGCCTGACTAGGCATGGGTAATGATTTAGACGAGCTTAACGAGGCGAAGTAAGGTAGTGATATAGACATACCAAGAGTGGAAGAGAGTGAGGATTTGGCTATACCTGACAAAGAGTCAACTGAAGAAGTTAGCTTACACAATGGAGCGTAGGATGGAGAAGACTGAGCTTGCACCCGTCAATCACTGAAGGCTGAAGACCTCGGAGAGGCTGAGAAGGTGAGGAAATATGGGGTGCAATAAGCAAGTCTCACCCAGAAACAGATTGATTAGATCTGAGAGAGGCCAACCACCAGTTGAATGCAGGATATTCTTACCTAAGAGCTGAGATATTGTTGAGCAGCTACCACTGTCTGGGCGAACGTAAGAGGAGAATGCTGAAGAAGACTAGCGTCCGCGCTGTTGTAGGGAAACTGTTGTACCCCTTAGGTGGCTGCTGTTGTGGCTGCCCCAATTCTGAATGAGTGGCTTGAGAATTGATAAGGAGGAAGGTTGCACTGAGCTAAAGTTTGCCTCAGAAATCTCAGTGACCAAGTGGTGGACATAGGGTCTCTTTCTGGAGTGAGAAAGAGGGTCATACTGGGTGAGCTGAGTCTGTGACATTTAAGAGGTCACTTAAACATAGTGTGACAGGGACAGAACGGGCCATCTAGCGATTGAGATGAAACATGGACTTTTCCCTTTTGAAATAATCATGATAGAACTTAAGATCTGAGAAAACTACATCTCTAGATGGAACAAACATAATAATAGGGGATGTAATATTTGCCTAGTCTGACAAACTCATGGAAGGCAAGAAGAAAGGCACTTGAGAGATTTAAGATAGGGAGAAAGAGTACTGTAGTGGAGGGCCTTGAGGAGGTTTTTAAAGATAGGAATAGTGATAGGTCTCCAAGAATCAGGCTGAGAAACATAGTATTTTGAGATGCCTTTAAGGAGAAGATTAACGGCATGGTCTGAGAACACAAATTATTCAGCCTCTGATTTACATCCCTAATCTGGCATTTCAATCTGGCGTATCCAGAAAAGATAAAAATTGCAAAAGTCATTTCACTTTATAAATGTGGGGAAAGACACCAGTTCACAAGTTCTGGGCTTGTTTCTCTATTTCAACAGTTTTCCAGACATTTGGAAAATGATTTGTGGGTATATTTGATACATTCATTATTAAACATAAACTGAAAGTCAGCAGGGACATAGATCACAAAGATCCACAGCAATGTTTATGCAATTGCCTAAACTGAACTTTTCAAGCTTGACCGTGACCTGGATGACTGACAATTTTCACAGAAATCCACAGTAGTGGCATTCCTTGAATTAATTGACAAAAAGACATTTTCAGTTGGTTTATTTATACGTCTCAAAAAGAATTTGACACAACAAATCGTGAAATATTAATCAAGAAATTGGAGCGCTATGGTATCAGGGCAGTAGTCATGCTCTGGATACAAAGCTATCAAAACAACAGTCAACAATCTATGCAAATGGGGAGGGACTTTCAGTCATCTTGTTTAGACATTATTTGGGGTGTCCCCCAGGGGTCAGTATTGAGACACAAACTGTTTATTCCATATATAAATGACATCAGTAAAGTTACATTTAATTTGTTCACAGACAATAATGATTTATATATAACAGGTGATAATTTGCAGAAGCTTTTTAACTAACTAAACTAACTAAATTAACTTAGAGTTATGTCAACTTAGGATATGGTTTGATTTTAATGAGTTATACTTGGAAACTAAGTTTATATTGTTTGGAAACTGCATTTAATATTTTTTATTGCTAATTTATCTTGCTTTATCTGAGTTACTGTGTGGAAATATAGAGCAACACCTATAAAACCTTACTGTAACCATTATGCACATTACAAAAAAAGAATGACCAGAATGGTTCACAAGGCAGGATTCCATGCCCATACTAACTTATTTCCTATAGAGTCCTGCCTCCTCAAACTCCCAGATCTGGTAGAATTTCAAACAGCTGAGTCGATGTATAAAGCGAAAAAATAACCAACTACCAGTTTATATTTAAAAACAGTTGACTGATAGAGTGGGGGGCTATGGTTACAAGGAAAAGCTTAACTTGAGAATCTTGAGGGTTTTAACCACTATGAAAAGAATGTACATTTCAGTCAGTGGTGTGAAGGTCTGGAATAAACTCCAAAAAGAGCAGAACCAAAGTACAAGTTTTTAAAAAAGATGAAAGGTGATTTTCAACCTGTACTGTGACGAAGAGGGCAGTTAAATGATATCACAACTCAGCACCGTGTATATGGTGTGTGTCTGTGTGTCTGCATGTGGTGCATATAGGGGTGAGTGGCCCTCTTCACTTGTTCTGGTCCTCTGTTGCTACAGCCTGATACTACGGTTGTTGAATCCTGACTTATTGCTGGTCCTCACTCTGTGCCTTGTGGTGGCTGTGGGCGGGTCGGGGGTTCAGGTTTGGTGAGTTGGAGTGAGATGCAATGCTTGCATGGGTTTCTGGGTCTTCTGTATTGGTGCTGGGGACTTGGCCTGGGTGTCTACCATCCCTCTTGGCAGTTGCTGAGGCGGCTGTGCTATTCAACTGAGGTAGGCCTGTTCCTGGGGTTGGCCGGGTGGGCACCCCTAGTCAGCTCCAGGAGTTGGTGGACTGCAGCCAGAGGTTGGGGGGGTTAAGGGGCATCAGGGCTGGCTCTTTGGCCATAGTGCGGGGGGGAACCGGAAACCTGTGTTGGTGTGGTTTCTACACTCTGCTCCCAGGCTGGTTCGGGGGGTTTCTGGGTCTTTGTTCTCCTCCTACTACCATGGGTGGCAGGGTTGGGATTGGTTGAGGGACTGTGGTGTCGGGGTGTGGCACAGATAATTGGGGCTTTGGGGGAGGGTCTCTGATGCATAATTTTTTCGGAGGTGTTTTTTTAAAAATCACTGTTACGTCCCCTGTAGGGGGCGTGGCACTGGGCCTTTTCTTCCCCCTCTTCCCACAACCTCTTTGTTCTGAAGAAAAACGGTGCGCCCTTGAGTGGCTGCCCACGGGGTTCCAGAACTGGTGTGTCTATGTGTTGTTTGTATGATCTTGGTACAGGCTGTACTGGAAATTAATTTATCCATGTGAGATCATTAAAGTATTAATCAATCAATCAATGGCGTGAACGTGTATTTAGGTGTGATTGTCTCACAAAAGCCTGCTGTGTGGTTGTTGTTATATAGGTTTGATTGCAGTTTGATACATGTATGTATGTGTGTGTTTATGTGTGCGTATTTATTTATTTATAGTTTGTGAATTTTGGATCAAAAGCATAAACATCAAACAGAAAACAGGAAGGTGCTATAAGGGAAATAAGAGGGAGAAAGGATATGAATAAACAGGGTTTACTTCGTTGTACCCTTTTTCAGACACTTTTCATTGTTTAATATCATATCTAAGGATATATTTACTTAAATGAATTCAATTGGATATTTTGTTTATAGTTTATTTATTGAAATCTATATATGGATATTTAATGTAGTATCAAGCTTATATGGATGAAGTTGTAAGTGTTTTTGGATTGTTTTGGGTTGGTTTTTTTGCTGCCGTTCATCGATCACCTTTGTGGTAATTGTCTGAAATGAATTAATTTAATCAACCTACAACAACTCAGGAGTATTTTTCCTTTACCAATTTATTAAAAATGACAAAACAACTACAGTAAAAATTGTCAGAAATTGCTGAAGAACTTTGGGCAATAGGATTGGCTCGTGTTTTTTTTTTCTTCCAAAAACAAATTCAACTTTTACTTCTAATTTTAATTTATGTTATTTCTATAACCATTGTGGTTGAAAATAATATATGTATATTAAGGTTGCTAATTTATCTTGGGATTTTCCTCACATCAATCTATTTTAAAGATTATTTTATTTCTAAGGCAATCTTCCTTCTTTCTTATACTGAGAGAAGGAAAGTTCTCTCAGACCATGGCAAAAACATGTTTTCTCTTGGGCACTGTCAGCTACATTTGGTTAATATGGGAAGGAGATAGCTTTTGTGAAATGTGTAAGTTAATGTATTATGGGAGACAAATCTTCCCAAACAGGTGTTAGGGTCAGAGGTGTAACACTTAACCTGCCCTCTGTTTGGGAAGGTTTATAAAATATATAATTGTTTTTTTTCCTTCAGAACGGCTTGGTACGTCGTATGAACAACTTGTACCATTGCACTGGTTGCTCTCACTTCATTAAGTTTTCCTTTTTAAGAAATTTCTATCTCTTACTTCCCCAGACGGACTAAGACTGCTTAAAATGAAAAATTCCACAACGTAATACATACTGTATAATACAGTACGTGTATAGCTAATCTATTAATTCCCACTCCTCAGTTTGTTCAGACAAAATTAAAAGAAATCGTTAAAACTATTAAGTAAAAAAATGTTTTAAAAAAATTAACGAAAAAACAAAAGAAATTTGTCAACATTTTGAAATGGTATTTTAATATAAAAAATACTTTCAACTGAAATATATACAACATGAGCAATGAGCTGAAAAACTGTATGAGAGGCTGACTACGAGAAAACTACCATGTGTTTGAAACAATACTTTGCAAGATTATTCACAAAAAGAGTCAAGAGGCTAGTCAACAAGATTATTCTCAAAGATTATTGGTTCCCAGCCTGGATGGCATTTCCACTTTATGGTTTGAAAGTCAGACATGTTTTGAGCAGTTGACAGAACTCTAACAAACTGATATTGTCTCTACAAATAGAATATCAAAATATTAATATTAATTCAAGTGATGAGGACAATACAAATATTGATCAGAGACAGTGAGAAGCCATCAGTCCCCACACATGCTCATTTCACTGGATTATAAAAAACACCCTGCCCCCTACAAAGGTAGATAAAGGGAGTAATGGGATAATGCCCAGCGCCGAACAGGTTTGCCCACCCTGCCAATGACAGGAAGTTTGTGGGCGTAGGCACGTGGTGGGACAGCAGAAACGGGTGGAGTCGGAGAAAAGTTGGTCTGAAAGGGGCGACGGCCTTGACTTGACCGACCCACCTGTCGTCCACCGATCAGAAATGAAAATGCTGGAGGTCCGGTGTGAGGTGAGGTAAAGCGAGCCTTGGGGAACACATCACGAGAAACACCTGTTGAACGCTGGCTCGATCGGGATGATGAAGATCTGGAGCGCTGCACAGAGGACGAGCGAGCTAAGGGCCTATTGGGAAAAAGAACAAATAAAAGAATATGTAAACGAAAAAGCAAAAAAATCAAGCTAGTAATAAAAATTTGCCTTTAAAAAAAAAAATGTCTATGTCCGCCCTTACCGTCCTGATCCTGTGGCTGACAGGCTAGGTGGGGCTGGATCAGTACGAGGGCTCCCATCCTGTCTGGGGCTGATGTTGAGGTTGGCCGTGAGCTGTGGCATCTTACGGGTGTTGTCTGGGTTGGACAAAGGGCCAAGGGGCTCCTTCCTAGCATCCCTGACATGGGATGGAGTACAAACGGGGTAGTTGTCGAACCCCGGTTCTGTACTGAACCTGACGGCCAAGCTGTCTCCAAAAAAGGAGTAGAGCTCACAGTACATATCAGGAAGAGGGACTGGGGACCACTCTTCCCAATGGCATCCCGCTCCCCCTGCCTGGAGGTGGCTAACTATTCCAAGTGCAGCCTCTGACAGAGGTTCTGGAGGGGGGCTGAGGCCTGGCGAGCTCACCCTGTAGCCCATAGCTCCAGCCACAGAACCTGGCTGAATCAATGTCCCTCTCTCTGCTGGCTGAGACAGCGATAGAGCCTTCATCCTCAAAAGACGCTCCACTGCCACCTGCATGACAAATATTGGAGCTTATTTATACTCTACTGCATTAACAGAATAAGTTTGTCTGTCACTCAGAAAGACAAGAACCACATTTTGATCCATGGTTTGATATCAGGCTATGAAAATCAGTCAAAAGTTCCTATCTGGGTGCAGTACAGTAACCATTTTACCATGAGATCATTTTTCAATTAATCTTCTTCAACTTCCAAACAATTCTGCAAAATTAGGATTTTTCCTTAATGGAAATTTTCAGTATTTGGTATGTCACCTGCTCCCATATAAAATATTTGTTTACAAGGGAATTGAAACAAGAAATGCTACATAATTTTTCATCAACAGAGGAAATGTTACTGTAAAAAAAATGTTTTTTTTCCAATTAAAAAAAAAGTAATGATAAAGATACTGACCAAGATGGCTCCATAAACTTTGTGTCCATCTGCTTTGACCTGGGCATTTGACACAGAGTAATCATCCAGTACCGCCTGGAGGTTGGCCCAGTAGGCAGGAAGGTGTGGAAAAAGCACTCTCTCAACGGCCTGCCGCCACAAATACAAAAACAGAGTCTATGAGCAAGTTCGACTATTGAAGATCACCTAAGTATTTAAGACGACCAAAAAGTAAAGAGTTCTTTTCACCCATTAGATTAAGATTATAAATGTAATAGTTTGATTTAAAAACAGGAATTGTGAACATACTTTCCATCCTAGAGCATGAAGGCCCACGACAGCCCCATAGTGTGAGCAGAGTGGTCTCACTGGGTCAGACAGAACCTTCTGGAGAGACAGCAGGATTTGGTGGTACAGACCACTCACCAGATCCCCATGTGTCCTGGAGAGAGGACCCAGTTAAAGGCAAGTAGCTCCTGACTTCACATTAACAGGGTTAATTTAAAATCCATCTGTCTCAGCAGCTGCCAGAATGCATAATAACCCTTTTTTTCTGACTTTAAGACCATGACATTTAAACTTTAATTATCAGACCCATTGTTAAGTGACCCTATATTTGCTGTACAACAACAAATAATTTCATAGCATTCCCTATCACAAAGTAGTTCTGTGAAGTAGGGCATATCACTTTAGAGTTCAGGACCTTGTGACTAGTAAAATACATAACAATGTGAAAGTATAGCATCTGTAATTAATCTACAAGGTGAAAAGTAGTCACAAGAGATTTTCCCACCAGAAAATGTGGCTGAGAAGCAGGGCTGCATAATCCCTCAGGGTCCAGTGGTCATTTAGCGGATTAATGGAGGCAGCAAGTGGCTCCAGGATGCAGTACATGACACTGGAGACCAGGCTACGCACATATGAGCCCAGGTACAGGTACGGGTTCTGGACCAGGCTCTTCACCATGTGTAAGAGTCTGTTGAGCTGCTCCAGGTCATGGCTTACTGACTTCACCTGGAAGAAAATATTCACAATATTAACACATGATGGGAATACATATTTAGATGGAGGTAATATTGAGACCAAAGCTAAATTTAGGGCATTTTTCTATTACTGCCATATACGGTTTGGCATGGCTCTATGCGGTTTTAGATGGTTTTCCATTACAAATTATGGTCATAGAGAAAGACAGGCTTTGTAGAGCCGTGCCGAGTAGACACTGGTGGAAATGCACCATTAGATTGATCACATTCTGATAAAGTTATTAAAGATCTGAAAGGAACAAAGTGTCAGATCTAATATTCTGTACAAACAAATAGAATCACTGATGCATCAGAATCGGTAGCAATAATGAAAAAGTAGAATAGGTGCAACTTACTCCACTTATCACATAAACAAAGTATGGCAGTAAGGCAGCGATCTTGGAGTTGGACTGAAGGTCCAGCAGAGCCACCTGAAACATGGAAATACAAAAAAAAATGATAAGCAACAAGTCGTTTAGCCACATGCAACATGTGTTCAGCATTAGCTTACCTTCATGAGATGGGGGTCCTCTCCTAGGATGGCTCTTGTGATCTGCTGGTAGTATTTCAGCAAGTCGTCTGATAAAGACTGTACTGCTGTAGGAACTGTGACAATTCCACACTCAGGTCAAGTATTAACTACTACATAGCATTGAATTATTAATCAGTGTTATCTTGATTCAGTGCTTGGAGCCTCAATTAACTTATTTTTCTTTTAAGAATTTTTTTCCAAGATTTTAGCTTACAATTCCATTTTTGTTCAAGGAAATATGTTATTTAACAACAAAAATCTCACTGAAAGACAGCTGCACATTGAGAACAAGTCGTTCAGAGTCTTACCTGTCCCCTGAGAGTCTACATTGCCTTTACCATCCAGATATGCCACATTTACTGAAAAGAAAGGAGATAAAATACGTGCACATTACCTTGTGAAAACTTGGAAAATTGCCTTTTCCTGGCATCGGCTTAAGGTGATTATCAAGTGAGAAAGTGGCAAAACATGTACCTCTCACCATGGTCTCTGCGCAACCTTTAGGAATGTTGGTGGCCAGAGCCAGCTCAATTAAGTTCACGTCCCGATCCTCCACAAAGAAAAACTCCCCTTCTTTCACTGAGCGGAAAGGCTGAGCATCCTGGGCTCCATAGCCACAAATGACCTAGTAAATACATCGAAATAAAGAGGTTTAAAGGAGGAGCCACAGTGACATGTCAAATCAGTGTCAAATCTTAGGCTGCATTCATACTACAGGTCTTAATGCTCTGTCGATTTTTTTGCACTGAGGATGTAATCCTACATGGAAACTCTTTTTTGGGACTAAAGATATGAAATTCAAATTCACCTCCACATTGCTCCAACGCAGAGCTTTGTTGAAGTCCTCTACTGTCAGCTTTCTCCTTTTAGCATGTCTCATAAACTGGGAGCTGCTCTGTTTGGGGGAAGAAAAAACTCCTGGAATCATTTGATCCGGATGTCAAGGGCTGAAGTCACAGAAATTATAAAAGAACAAGGACATAAAAACTAAAATGTGCAAACTTAAACCAAACTGAGGCGTGTTAATGTCTGTACATGCTGATATCTAAATGGCTGAATGACATGCAGCGTAAAGCACTTTGAATGCTCATTTCAACTGGAAAAGTACTTCATACAAACAGTCCATTTACCATTTAAAGGTTATTCGGGATTACATGAACACCTCAGCCCAGTGAAGGTAAGTAGTGCAAAGTTAATGGATAAAAATGAATAGAATTGCTGGGATTGGTGACTGGAAAAAAACGTCAATGCATAAAATACACCTCAACAATGCCTACATTTATTTTTGGCTGACATTAAAACGGAGTGGAACAGAAAAAAAGAGAGCTTTTTTTATCGTTTGGACAGACCTGCGCGGCCTCCCTGAGGCGGTAACACACGTCCTCGGCCAGCATGGCGGCCACCTCGTCGCTGAGCTCCACGGAGGAACTCTCGGCCATAAGTTTGACAGACTCCCGGGAAACCTCAGCGAAGCGTCGCTCCTCCCGGTCCGCCATGACGACTTTTATCCCTCAGAATCTGGAGGATGAAGGTGGTTTGGTCAATACTTTTAATTTTCTGATTCTTCCTTTCACAGAAGATAATAAAGAAATGTCATAGTATTCATAAAAAAAATTGCTTAAGTTTTGTCCTCAGGTTAGTATGATGAAGAGATGCGTTTACTGAAGCTTAGGTTAAAATCCTTTTTTATTTTATTTGTACTATATGTACATTCTGCACCTCAAGTGTTTCCATGACGTAGAGAGGGAGATAGGGAGATAAACCAAAAACTCTGAATTCAGCATTTTAAATTACCTTTGAACACTTTTTAAAAAAAAATGGAAGAGACTCGATGTCTTAGGTGCTAAATAAAACATGGTCATCAACTTATCTATAGTATCAAAGAGTTTAAATACCACGATGTTTGGGCAAAAACAGCTGGAATCATTTGGTAAATGAGCATTGTATTTGAATGTTTCGTATCATCCAGAACTACTGAAGCACTGTAAGGTAGCATCTTTGGCGGTCTGCTTAAGCTAGCTGCAATCACATTATATATATATACAACGATATTATAGCTCACTGTTGAAGAGCCACACTTAACAGTGTTAAGCAAAATGTGTCATATGTTGGTCAAACTACGCCTTACCTTTTCTCATAAAATCGTTAAGGACGGACTGTAGTTAAAAAAAGAAGTGGTTTTGTTTACACTCTAACCTGGTCTGCAAAATGGTCAGGTTAGCAAATAGGCAAAGGGTATCCGTTTAGCTTTTCAATATAAGACACGGTAGGCGATCAGTTAGTCCCTTTTTTCAGCAGGTAGATAGAATTATGATACAATTATCGCAATTGCATTAGGTGACTTAAATTGACATATTTAAAACCATTTTGAACAGATCTTATTTAAGAGGGCAGAGAATGAAAGAAGGTATTTTAAATATCTACATTTGTAACAGAAACCTTTTATAACAGCAATCACAATATTTATTAGAAATTATCCATTTTCATCTTCTCTTTTAAAAAAAAAAATTAAAAAACGGAATATTCTGAAATTTCTGAAAGAAAAGAAAATCTGCGCTTCCGGTGGCATCAGCGTTACTTGTCGCCGCTTCAGGGTGCCAGCAGAAAAAAATACGACAGGTGTAGGTGCCTGACGCCGATTTATGAGAGAGACATTAGCTATCTTAGTGAAAATATAAATCTGAAATGACATAACTCAAAGCCAGTTGTAACAAATGTATATTCAGCGAAGCCAAAAATAAAATTTTGCAAAAGAAAGTTCCAAATATCTTCACGTACTGTGGTGGATAAGGGTCAAGACCAACATAAAAATTATTTAAAGGCGTCATCAGTGTATTCTTCACAAAAATAATTAATATATTTTTTAATCGTTGTAAAAAAAAACAACAACAAAATTTTTATCTTATTTTAAGCCATTCAAATATCGCGAACTCTAAGGTTGACCCGGAAGTGAATTAACGGAAGCGCTTATTTGCATATACACAGCCGACACTCCGCATAGAGTGCTGAATCATCCGTTGACGCCGCCGCCATCTTGAATGAGGCATAAAGGAGCATCGGACTCAGCTTTCAGACAAAATGCCTCACTCATGTGCTGCATGGAAATGTACCAACCGGTTTACAGTTGAAACCAGATCGCATGGCCTTACTTTTCACAGGTACGAATCCACACATACTTTTGATTGTATCTGCCCATTATAACGTAATTTTTCCGAACATAATTTGTTTACTTTAACGAAGTCCCGCGCAAAATACTGTGATTTCCCGCGGTGAAACCAAACAAAGAACTCTTTCTTATTTAACTAATTTGGCCTGAAGTGACTGTTCTGGTTGTTGTTATTTTCTTTGCTAACGTTTCTCATACTATTTAGGTTTCCCAAAGATATCGAGCAGAGAAGAGTATGGGAAACAGCCGTCAGGAGGGCTGGGTTTTCAGCCACTCCTTCATCCATGCTCTGCAGTGAGCATTTCAGACCGGAGGATTTTGACAGGACAGGTCAAACAGTCAGAATCAGAGCTGGAGCTGTGCCTTCAGTCATACGTGTCCGAGCTCATAACCACAGGGTGGGTGTATCACTATGCTGTAAGGATACCATATTCCAATACATCACTATGCTGAAGATGTTTTTTCTCTTTCTTAATGTGAGAGAATCGGTGATATATTTTAGTATATTGTATCCTTCGCTTTAGCCTGTGGTTACCAGGACATCTCAGACCTCCAAGAAGGCACAGGAGACCCTGCCAGACTGTTCCCAGCGTGTTCAAGAGGCCGAGCCCCTGCCTCCTCCCAATGTTGTGAGTAATACGTACCTCAATCAGCAGTGAGCATTATGACCCTGGTTATATTCAAACCTCTTGTCACGCCCACCCCTCACACAGCACCGCACATTCTCTGTCACTCTTTCAGGAACACTTGCATACACACAGGCACCTACATTGAAACAGTATTGAAACCGTATTGAATCTGCATCCTTGACACACATGCACACACAAACAGTGTTGGTAGTACAATTAAGGAGTGATAAGACCAACACATTGTACTAGCAGAGTTGTGATGGATGGTGACTGTGTGATCTGATATGTCAACATATATACTGCGTGTGTGTACGTGTATATTTATGTACAACATGATTTATAATATTTTCCTCCTTGTTTCATCCCAGGACCACTCCTATGCTCTGCCTTCGTCACATGAGGATCTGAAGGCCAGACTCAGGGAAGCCCTGGCTAGGGTAGAGAGTCTGGAAAGAGAGAGGAGGAATGCGAAGGACAGAGAGAGGAGGGCAAAGAGCATTGTGAGTGGTCTGCTGCAGGATCTCAGGGTCAAGGAACAAATAAACGAGGAGTTGAAAGAGCAGCTCGATATATTCGCAGGTAAGATTAGAATACAAAAATGGAAAAAAGGACTCTGCGATGTGCAGGAAAGATTGTGGCTGGTCCCTCCCACCCTGGTCACAAACTCTTTGAGATACTCTACTCAGGCAGGAGCCAGACAAGCATGTGAATTTTGATTCACAGAAGATGAAGCTGTCCCTGGCGTCACAGACACCGATGGCTCTGCGCGCACTGAGGGACGCTGGTTATTCACAGTTTCAACACTGTGAAGGAGCAGCTGAATTCATTGAGGTGATTCTAGCATAATAATACTACTAACACACACACAAACTAGGTTTGTGAGATTGCTGCCAAAATGTGTATCACATATTTTCTCCCTAAGAATGGAGATCAAATGGTTATTCATTTTTATATTTGTGAAATGAAGACTGACTCATAGGAACATGTTTATGGTGAAGATTATTGTGCTTTCTGTTAATGCAGACATTTACTTTTAGATAATTGACAGGCTCTTTGACATGATGAACAGTCGCAATCCCCACGTAAAAGGATTTAAAGCTCCCCTAGGTTCTTTGAATTGGGAAAAGAGTGTAGAGTTCTTGGTGAGAGGAAGGGACTATTTTTTTTAACTTAGTGATGAAAGATGGCAGACCCCTTCACCGATGATCCAAGAGGTTATAGGAAATGGTGAAGCTTTTGTTTGCACGAACAGTTCATATGTTTATGACATCCAGTTCCTATGATGTTCTGTTGTAATTTTTTTTCTTCAAATATCTCTATTGACATGGAAAGAATATTAAAGGGATAACTATTGGTGCCTTACAAGACATTTATATATTATTTAGGTTATACTGTCAAAACACCCTGATTTTGAAGAGAACAGCTTCAGTGTCAGTGGTACGTCTGCACCTACCACTTTAGTCAGGATCACTTGAAGCTCCTTTTTAATTCAGTCAGGGCATCGGGTAGGGATTTAAGATTATTTTATATGTGATTTGTTTCCATGTAAGCCTATTATCTGGCTAACTGTATATGTAAATGTGGTGTTTGTATGTGTTTTAGGCGGCTGAAAGCGAGCCAGTTCCAGGCCATCCGATGGTGCGGTGTGTCTGCAAGCACATCAGGAAATGTGGTAGCACAGGATGGGACTGTGTCCCTGTCTGCTTTTGAGATGTCTCCAGCAGCAGAAGGAACTGAGCAGCTTCCATCCCCTTGTGCCAACATTCCTGCTCTGATGTGTGACCATGGTTACCTACCAACAGGCTTTGGTGGTCTTGTGGGACAATACACTCAGGGTTTGTTGTTCGCCAGCTTCTCAAAAAGCATCTGTCTGAGGACGTTGTAAGGGTGGTCAGGTGAGCTGAGAACTTTATTTGCCAGTCGATGTCAGGGCAAGTGGCCTTGATTTGACACCCTTAAGTTGCAGAGTGGCAACACATGGGGAAAAAACTGTGCAATAGTATTCTTTTCCAAGGTTTTTTCACTTGTTTACACACAGACTGTATAAATATGTCCCCTGTATAAATATACTGTATATATTTTCTTCAATGTGTGTGTGTGTGTGTGTGTGTGTGTGTGTGTGTGTGAGTGTAAAATCAATGTGAATATAAAAACGATTAATCAAAATCTGACGTTTGTGCTCTTTATTCAAAAACCCTCATGTCACATCTAGCTTTCAGAATCTGTTTATTATAGACAAGGTTTACATGTTAAATTTCAATATTTATATTACAGTAACAGTGTTGCACGCATTAGTAGCTGAAAAAACTTGGCGTTAGAAAAGTACATACGCTAGGTTTGTTGCTTTCTTATACCATAAACATCGGGAGTAAACATTTATCACCATTTTAAAAGTTACATGTGTTTTTTTGTGGTGCCAATTTGTTTCCCAGATAAGTTAGTGAATAAGATGCATTTTGTTAAAGCACTTGTTGAAAGCCGCCGTCCACGACATTATAAGCTCTTCCGTCAACACTTCCGGGTCATTCTCGGATTTCCTTTAGGATCGATTTGGTAAAATTTGATTGGTTGTCGTCTTGTTCATTTGTTTTCTGGAATGTAAAATTAGTTCCCGACATGTGCATTTTGTCTCCCAAAATGTGATTTTATTTTCTATTTTTCATACAAATTTTGTCTCAAACTTTGTAAGTGTCTCAGAATGTGTAATGTTGGTTGATACCTCCGGGCCACCGTACTTACCCCATTTTTTTTTACAAAACTATAGTCGTTTTAAAACAGGTTTATATTTGCTCTAAAAAAGGCCTATACATAGAACGATTGTGGTACATAAATAATTACTAAATATATACATAAAATTATGTTATAATGGTAAAAAAAAAAATCTTTGTGAGGACACTGGGATAAGTGTTTTTTTTCCAAATAATTGCCTACTGATCATTTTTAAATTTTAAACTATACATAGAAAAAGGTACAATAACTTAGGGTGAGTATATATTATCAAAAGGAAAGTAAAAAAATTGTCAAAATATAGACCAGGTTTCTTTGTGTAAATTAATTCACAAAAGGGCAGTTCTTAAAGTCTAGATGGAGAGAGAACAATTCACGATCTCCCCCGAAATAGGATGGCTTTCCCTAATTTGTCTTTTATAGGCCACATTTTATTGTGACATTCTTCCTTTGATAGGTCCTGAGCAAATCTAAAATGGTTGTCCCTCAGAGAGGATGATGTTTTGGCTGCTTTCCATGCAACATCTCAAAGGATTCTTGAGGTGAACAGAATGATGATCCCTCCGGGTGTGGTGCTACCTTGTTGCTCAGCTCTGAAACAAGCACCTTTTGCCTCCCAGATGTAGTGGGCAACATCACACCGTGTTTTCTTCTTCTGCCTCACCGTGCATCTGGTCAAAAGCCAGGAGTTTCTGTGGCTGTAACAGTATGAATCTGGTGTGGAGGGGGCGTCTTTTCTTCAATAAGAGTGGTGATGAAGCAGACAGAGAGATCCAACACAGACTTTAAGTAAAACCGGAGAAAAACACTGTGACAGGTGTATAAAAGAAAGCTCTTCCAGTGGTTTGGTCCCCAGTCTCTCATATGGATCCAGAAGGGGTTGTACTGGAGAACAGGTAACCCTCTTTCCCTTGGAGGCCAAACCACACTTTCAAGTAAAAAGGTTGGTCCCTACTCCTAGCGTTTCTTCTCTGTCTTAGGCATCTATCAGTCCTAATTTACCGCAGTGTCCTTTGAGGATCTCAATTCAATTCAATTCAATTTTATTTATATAGCGCCACATCACAACAACAGTTATCTCACAGCTTTCCAAACAGAGCAGGTCAGACCCTACTCTGAAGTTATTTACAGAAACCCAACAATTCCCACCATGAGCAAGCACTAGGCGACACAGGGAAGGAAAAACTTCCTTTAGATCCAAGGGAGCTCCTGGCCCTGGAAACTTCCTGTGCTTAACTCATAAGGAGTCAATCCTGTGCTTGTATTCACCGAGCTCCTAATAGACATCAACTCTAGGGGGAGGGCTTCCAGCTAGTTAAGCTTAGCATCTGGAAAGATTTTTACCATTTTACTCTTGAACTCTCTGTTCATCCCTTTAGATTTTCCAGCGATTGAGGATGACATACACTGCCAAAACTGTTTCAAGCCAAGCGCTCTTTCCACCTCCCACAGGTCTTATTCCTAAATTGAGTCCCATTATCTGATCTTATCCTTGTGGGGAAACAATGAAATGTAATGATTAACGAGCAACTTGACTACTGTTTTACTGCCTTCCCTCCAACCCAACTAGAAAAGGAATCCACCACCACTAGCTAAAAACAGGGACATTGAACCCTTTTTCAGGTGTACCCTGCCTCTTGCTAGCTGGGATAAGGTACAACCAAATTAAAATGACTTAATTTCAGTAATATGCCAAGGCTTTTGATTCTGTGCTCTTTTAAAGAAAAGCTCAACTGGAAAAGGAATTACTTATATCATTAAGAGCCATTTATTGTGCATGCCCCTTTGTGCTGAGACCATGGAAAAAACATTTTGAGGGATCAATAAAGTTCTTGACATAATGGGAATTGGATTAAAGTTCTTAAAACCAACCACACAAAACATGTTCATCTACTAGAGTGCTACAAAAGACCCACAATTACGATCCATCTCGGGTCACCAGGAGGGCTTCCGTCATCACCTGTTTAAGTACATAAATTGGTTGATTTCAAATGTATTGCAATTCAAGTTGCATAAAGCTTTACACGAGTGTTTCAGATTTGTTGGCTTCAACCTCCTGGCCACTGTACATCGTAACAGTTCTAATGGCCGACTAGTTTTTCCTCAATATTGACATCTGATGGGTGCCATTAAATGGTTTGAAAAATGTGTTAAACTAATTTTCAATTCAGTTTTACCTCTACAGTTTCAGAACTACACATTGCTCAGCATCACTCAAATTCTAGAAATCCCAGGACAAATCAGAAGTTACCATACAATAGGTTAAAAATCAGTTTATTCATAATATTGACAGTTAATTTACACAGCCATGTTAATATATGAACCTGGTAAAACATTAAAATCGTGCCATTAGCTGGAGACCAACTAGCTGTCCAGAGGTACTCTAACAGATAACTAAATAGCTCTGTTCACCTTGACCTGCTGAAAGACAAGTCACAGAAAAAGTTACTTAAAATTTAAAATAAAAGTTTTGGCAATTACGCCACTTAAAAAACACTTTAATTGCGTCAAGTTTAAGGCGTGCTACTGGCCCAGATCTCCTGGGCGTCGTTGCTCTCCAGTTGCTGCAGACGGAGGGCCAGTGGCAGCAGCAGGTCGTTCAGGTGCTGGCTGGAGAAAGTGAAAGCGTTGTGGACGGCGGCTTCTGACGGCGTGTCGAGGGGGGAAATGGAGGGAGACGAAGAAGTCGAGAAGTACGAGGAGGTGGAGCCGGGCAAGTGAGAACTGGTCGAGGACAGTTGAGACAGCGGGTTCCCGCCTTGGCCCTTGATCTTGCTGGGGAGGCCGTGCTGGAAGCGGCAGCACGTGCCGTAGAGGCAGAAACCGAACGAGCTGAAGGTGTGACACAACGCTCCCCGGGGCTTCCACTCCTTAGACTGCGGCGGACCCTGGGTTCTAGGGGGAGACGGAGTCTTCTCACAGTCCGCCGCGTCGCTAGCGCTTCCCACCTCTCCATCCTGGACATGCAGGAAGTTGCAACGCGTTCCGAAGGGGCAGACGCCAAAGGCCCGGAAGGTCCGGCACGGGACGTTCCTACGGCGACGGACGCTCTGCCGCTGCTCCATGGAGTCGTGGACGAACAAGCAGCGGCTGCCATAGTAGCAGTAGCCGGTGGTGTGGTAGCTGCGACACAACTCCGTCTTGTACTTGGGATGGCGGAAGGGAATCCGGAGCTCGTGGAGGCCGTGGGCGAACTGGCAGCGCTGGGCGTACTTGCAGAACCCCGTGGCCGAGTAGCTGGTGCACAGCTCCGTTTTATAGCGGGTGGAGCAGACCCAGGGCATAAACGACGGGGAGGGGGACTCCTCCGTCAGGGGGAGCAGAGCTTTGGCGAGGGTTAAGCCCCCGTCGTGTGAATCTTTGCTGCGCAACAGGCTGTCCACAAGCTCCTCTTCTTCATGTGAAGGCAGGAAGAAGTCGTCAGAACTATTCTGGGGTGGGAAAAAAGGAAAAAAAAAAAAAAGTTTATTAGGGCACTATATCTGATCATGTCAACCCAAAAAAAAAACAAAACACAATTTGGACAACTGAAAACATATCAAGTCTTGAACTAATATGCCAAAAGTATGTTCCAATAATATATAGAAGGGGGAAAAAAAAGAAAAGAAAAAAAAAACCCCCACATGCAGGGTCATCTCTACTTAAAATGGAGAACCAACTGAGCTTGGAATACACCGCCATCAGAGGATTCCACCACACACAAAACATTAGTAAACATTACAAAGAAGAAATCTTTACACACACATATATATATATATATATATATAGACACACACAGCATTTTCTTTATAGAGCAGCAAAACACATTTCATATCAAATGCAATTTTCATTGGTCAGTATTATCAATAGTATTATCTGTAGAATTCCTGTCAATCTTACCTCAAACATGACAGCAAAGGAGAAGAGTGCTTATGAAGTCTGACCAGCAAAAGACAGCGTGCAAACCTTTATATAACAAATGTTCCAACTGGCCTTTGGAATTCTAATTAAAATAAAATGTGCGTCCTGTACAATTAAAAACAACCCCTACCTTGTAAATCAGACGTAGGTGTTGGTCTTATAAACCAGCAGCGACCTTCCTTAAACAGGGATGAGAATCAGGTGTGCTCAAGATCTACGTCATCACCAACTGTTTTCACGTGCGCTGTTTCTGACGGGACAATTAGGTGTTATGCGGAAGTCTGTTCCCCTAAATAGTCTGTGTCTTTGGTGTCGGGAGCGCGCTCAACATCAGGAGAGGCGGATTCTACAGTGTCTTTAATTTCTAATCAAGTTGTCGCTAAAACCACAACACGTAATAATTGACCGTGTCAGTGTTGTTGGCACGAAAAATTGTGGTTCCCTCTAAAACTTTAACGTTTTATTTATCCATTTTCATTATTAAATTTTTTTGTTTCATGTTTTGCGTCTGTCTTTGTGCAGAATTATTATTATTTTCCAACTTGAATAGCCTTCATTCATTTATTTAAATTACTGATATAAAAGCCTGCAAAAATAAAGCTTCAAGAAAAGACAAGTTTTCTTGTAAACCATGTTTCTAATTAACTTATTCAAATTTGATTTAACATGTGGTGGATTGTATACATTTCTAGTAGATACAAATCATTTTAATCGTGCAAGTTAATATGTTTTGTTTCTTTAAATTATCTGCTCTAGCATATGTATTATCAAAGTAACTTAATTTCTTCCACTTGTCATGCAAAGCCATTTCTGTAGTTTTAAAGGTATTCGTTCTTTCCTTACCAAAGATGCCCAAGGAAAAAAATGATTTCAGTCTGCCTCTGAAATAATCTGACCCAAAACACATCACTGTATCAAAAACAAATGCATGTTTATTTGGAACCTTAACTTCAAGAGAACAGAATTCTGCATGGTGGGAACATCCTGGGTGTATGTAGCAGAATCAGAAAAATTATTAATGTGTAAAATTCCAACGGTTTGTGTGCAAAACTTTTCCTGTTGAGTTTCTGAAAAGCTCACTACTGACCACTGACCACAGTTATTTGTGTACAGCAAGAAAAAACACAAGTTCCAATCTCAGAGGATTCATACATGGCATTAAAAATGCTCTACACAAATTTACTAGGATTTACTATGTATAAATGAGATCATGTTAAATTATTTTAAAAATCAATTAATCTATCTACATATACATAAATATATATAAATATATTCGTTGAGAACCAAATATCATCTTAAGTAATTAGTAAAAAATCTAACTTTGACATCTAGTTGAAATGCTGTGAGCATCTAGTGGGTGGAACAAGAACTTGTCTGACCATGAAGAAAAAGAACGTCTTTATTTTTCTTATCAAGATACATTGGAGCATACAGACAGAATAAAAAAACAAAACAAAAAAACACTTACATTTTTTTTTTTTTTCAATTGTAGCATGTTTGTGTTTTAATCTTAGAAAATTCAGGATCCTGTCCCTTTTGAAATGACCATCCCTCCCACCATGTGAAAGACATTGTTTTCTGACTTTTGGAACCATCCCCATTATTATGGAGATGAATTTCATTTAGCATGTACAAAAATTCTAATATGCCAAATTTTTTCAACATTTTTTTTTTTACACACCTTGATATCAGCTACAAACGCAACACTCTTCACAATTTTTTTTGAAAAAACCAAGCCCTCCCTGGAACCAAGTGTACTTATAAAAACACTTTAATCTCCAATTGTCGTGGACCTCCACAAGGATTTTAGTTCCGATCAACTACCTTCGTTCATATTCACCCTTAAATAGTCGTACAAACTGGGGGACTGCGAAAAACAATGCAAATGACAAAAAAAGTTGCTATTCCTATCAGGTCTTTGTTGCGCCCGCAAATTCTTCAAAAATATAGCTTCTGTCTGGATTCCTCACACTTAAACAAAGGAGAAGCTCATTGTTACTGCTGTTAAGAATGGAAAATTCAATCTCCCCGTCTCAACATCAGAGCAGATGCTTTAAAACTTGTACCTGTGGTTACTCTGCTGTGGTTCATGGAAGCAGAATTTAAATGACACAGCAGAGGAATTTCTTGTAGGGTTTTACTTCAACAATTGATCCTGTTCTGATTCATTCAATGTGTATTGTGATTTGCTGGAGTTTAATTTTCCTCAAAATTGGTACTAAAATTTTAAATTTTTAAAACCTTTACAAAGTCTGTGAGGTTTGAGCAGTTCTTAGCGCTCCACCTAATTCACTGAAGCTTTTTTCCTGTGTGAAATACATTTGCCAAAACAAAGCAAATGTTTAGCTTTCTTTAAATATTTTCAGTGTTTTCTTGTAGACTGAAAACATTAAACCCGTCCTACACTGGACACTTGCTCAGTTGATTTTTTTATTTTTCATCTGAGCTTTCTAATTCAAAGCTTTATTCTTGCTCAGTTTGTGCTCTGTTTCTTACATAATAAGTCCCTTCATTGGAAAAACAGGATGAACCTTTAGGACAGGGTTTGTGGCTCCATGATGTAGTACCAGACAAAACTATAATAGCATGAGATGGACCGAACACTGGATTCATGTCAGCTGAGCATACATTTCTATCATTTTTCCTTCCACTATTTCCACCGTCGACTGGCAACAGTAAGGAACGGACAACTCCTTTGCTACTGAAATGGAGAAATAAATCTTCAAATCAGGGCAAAGCTATGGCCAGCTAAAGTAGTCCAAAGTGTTACCCTGGCAGTTATGCATCTATTTACAGAAATTCAAACCCATGGAGGAAAAACAAAGTGTGCTTTATCACCATTGTTTCAGAATGAAAAAATATCAGCATTTAAATTATACATTTAAAAACAGGTGTTATTAAAAAGGGCTGTAAAGGACCTGTAATAAAACACTACAAACCCTAAGGTGTTTGACTTGAGTGGATGTGTTTTTGCTTCTTTAAATTAGGTGGAAATGAACTGCCATCAGGGTGTTAATGTTTGTGGGTTTGGGACAAATCAACTTTTTGGGGGGAAAAAACAGGCAAAAGACAGATGACGTTGAAGACAGGTAAAACAAGAGTACTGAATGGCACCCCCCACCCCCCTAAAAAACAAAACAAATCCCCATGTCCTGTTAAAATATGTCAAAAATATGCCACATCCTTCCTCCCTCAGTCCTCCAGAACAATGGGCTCACTGGTGCTGGACGCCAGAGGAGGCATGGCCAGGGATCGAGGTGGGGGGGGCAGCTTAATCCGGACCAGGAGATGAGGTTTCCGTGCTGCGCGGCGCATCTCGGACTGGGTGAGATGTTTCCTTAGAGCCCTGAGAGACAACAACACATCACGTTACGTCACATCAGCTTAAAAAACAACACATTATTTCAGGCCAAAGCTTTTTAACTTCTATCACGTTAATCTGAATCCATCTAAAATATGTATTTAAGGTGACAGAATACAGTTTTATTAAATTAAATAATACCTCATTTATCCTTTATTAACCACGGATTCCACTTCACTGTTTCATCAGGCTGTCATAATAAAGATAGTCAGTGTTGGTCTTTATGCTCAACAGCTTCTTCAACATTAAACAACCTGATCCAGAGCAGTCCTCAGCACAGATTTGTGGGACTTGCTTAATAAACCTGTTTAACAACAATTAACTAATGTAATTAAATACACACTTTTTTCCAGATCTCTGAATTAGTAGGACCTAATAGGTTTAATAACTAGACTGTTTTTTCTTCATATAGGCTCAGTGGGTTTATCTTTGGGGTTATATATTTAAAGCTACACGGTATAGGAATCTCTCCATCTAACGTTAAATGACAATATGACTTCCACGTCATCCAGTTTTCTCTGGGTGATGAGGTTTTGTCATTTAAAAGAAATTACAAACTGCATTGAATCATTAGTGTGAGCATGTAATTACTCCTCCAACAAGATAGCCAAGTTTCAGTCACGTGACTCTGGCTCTGAACGAAAACTAGACAGGCAGACTACTGCTTTATGTCCCTCTCTGCAATCATAGTTTTTCAAAATGGCGGATCGCCATGGAAACCTCCGTGGACTTACCCGTCCTATGTATATACAGATAGGAAATTCTTTGCTTATGAGGAGAAGTCAGATAATTGCAGAGGTCATTTTACACTAAATGAGGGAACATTAATAAATCAAGAAAAGGATTTTAGCTAGTAGAATACTTAATATACTGCCCTTTAATTATATTTTTTGCAATCTGGTACAAACTTTTCATTACGAACATGATGGGTGTAAAATGACTGAAACCATTTTCCTTTAGATTTCAAACAGTAGTGTCTGATAGTATCTGCTATGAGGCTAATAGGTCAAAGAAAAAAGAAGGATCATGGTAAAGAGAGGCAGAAATACAGCTTCCTCATATGAAAAAAGGCTCTTAAGGATGTTAAGTTCAACAAAGCCAGCTCTGTCAGATGCTGCTGACATGACTGTTGCTCACAGCAAAATGAGGCTGGTGGATGAAGTCCAAATTTAAAGTCCATTTTAAAGTTACTTCATTTTAAAATAAACAAACCACACAACAACAATTTAAATTGTTCATCAAATAGGGTTTTCTACACAAAACGCAACCATCAATGATCACTCCTGGGCCGTTAAGACCTGCAGACTCTACTAGCCTTCTGAGGAATCTTAGTCCAGTCTTCTGGGGGGGAAAAGTCTCATATTATACTAATATTTTTGGGTTGGTGTGCTGCAAACACTTTTCAAATCCCACAGGGATATTCACTGGAGTTGAGGTACAGTGGCTCTGATGGTGACTTCACCTCTTCCATCACCTGAAGCTTAAGCTTCCACACTGATGGCAGATTTTCTCTCAGGATTGCTTGAAGCTTGATTAAATCAATCTTGGCCTCCATGCGCTGCTGTTTGCATTAAATATCTGAGCATTATAAGGCACACTGCCATATTTTTCTTTGGTTCTTTTCATCCTTAGTTAGGTAGACAATAGCTTCCAGTTTCTGCCATGTCCAGGTATCATGTCCACTATTCCTGTGATCATGCAAACAACAATTTAAAATCTTAAATAATTTGCTATACAAGTTGCACTTGACTATGAGTTGCAGGACCAGCCAAACAATGAAAGAACAGCACCACTTACAGTCTGTAAAGTATAATACTCCCACTAGGTAACATAATGAAGCAGCAGAGAAACGTGTCCTTAAATCTACATGCAGATGTTATCCAGCTGTTTAAAATTTACTAAGATCCAAAAACTGACTTCTTTACCAACGTTAAACAATGGTCGAATGGCAATTACTTAAAATTCCATACCAATAACATTAAATCAGCTCGTCCATCAGATCAAGCAGTTTATTAATAAGGATTTAGGTTGGTCTGTGAAGCTTTTAGAGCCACACTCTAAAGATATAACTAGAAATGGCTTATTTCACCTGAGGAGTATTGCCAAACTAAGGCCACTGGTTTCAAATGCTGAAATGGAGAGGATTATCCATGCTGTTTTTCTCTTGCGTAGACTACATTTTAAGTGTTTTAACAGAAAGACCTTGACCATATCCAGACTGTTCAGAATGCAGCTGCACAGCTTTTAACTTGTAGCCAGAAAAGAGCTCACATTAGTCCAAGTTTAGCATCCCTGCATTGGCTTCCAATCAATCTTACAATCAATTTCAAAATGCTGGTCCTCACTTCATGCCCCATATATCACATGTCTGTTTCATCATCATAATCCTGCCCAGATTTTGAGGTCAGCAGGTTTTGAGAAAGATAATTAGACATTTGTTAATTATGTCCTTGTCTTCATCTATTTCTATCTAGTTTCTAACCTGTCTTTTAGCAGTGTAATGACTTTATTTCAGACTGTTGTTTTTGTCTTTTTCAATAAATTCAGCAGCTATTTTAATTCTTAAAACTGTTTTTATGTGCCGACTTTGTGATTTTTATCTATGAAAGATGCTACATAAATACAAGTTTACTTACTGTTGAATATAGAAAAATAAACCTCCTCTGCAGTGGGGGTTGAATAATTTTGATTACAACTATATATTCCTATTCAGATAAACCACTTTGAAGTTTGACCATATGTCCATAACCATCACAACATGTAGTGCTCATGAACACATGTATCGCGCGTAAGGCCATGAAGAGGATAAAAGAGAAACTGCTATTGCTGCAGTGATATCTACCTGGTGTCCTTTGTAGCCACAAACACCACAGGGTTTGGAGCTTCTCCCTGGCTGACCTTCTGCCTCTTGATGACTGACTGAGAGGTGGTCCTCATGCCTGAAGTATACGGCCTCCCGTTGGCTGGGTACTGTACCCCTGCAGACTGTGACCCAAAAAAAACAAAACAACAACAGGTGAATAAAGCCTGCTGATGCAAACAGAAGGTGCCGAGAGCACAGTTACGCTTTTATATCAAACTGAATTTATGCTGAATTTATGCTTTATGTGAACCCTAAGGAGTTCACATAAAGCACACTCTTGAAACTTGACGGGATGTTTTAAGCAAACCACATTTATTAATTTAGAGAGATACTTTTAAGCAACTAACCAGACCATCTTGGAACAATATTCATTCTATGCTGTAATATATGAGCAGAAAGGACTTGAAAGACAATGAAGGGGGCACAAGTTCAGAACCACTGACAGAATATTCTAGTGACAACATGCTGGTTTGATTTCTGCAGCAGATCTTTTTCAGCCTGAAAAATGCAATGTTCTCTATAAAAATAACTGAACGTGCCATGGAATAGCCAGACTTTTAAAACAGGCTTAACTTAATGTCTGAAGAAAACCTACCCAAAGACCAGCTCTGACAAATCAGAGGCACTTCCATATAGTTTTGGAACGGATACAATTTATTGGTTTCTTACGTGTGTTTCTTAAAATAATCCACAATTATACTTAATCTGAATGTTTGACAGTGGATGCTTCTCTTCTGTCGCTGTATGGAGTTTGCCCTTTAGTTTCATTAGCCACTACAATACTTCATTTATCCTCACAAATAAGTGGAATGGTATTCTGCATGAAGAAAAGGAACTTTTTGTCTGAGTCAAATCACATGATCATGCACTCCCACCCGTGCACGAGAGGAATTGCGTCTCCACCTGTAGTGAGTTGCAGTCTAAAGCTGTTGCTGGGGATGGAAAGGACCTCTGTGTCAGAATGCTAGCTGATCAGCTAAAGAAACCTCCAAATAAAGACATTTTCCACACATGTCAGCTGTACATACAAAAAACAGATCAAATAAACTTAATGTTTCCATAAATCAGTCTTCCCAAAACATATTCTGTCAAGTCCCCTTTTAACTGATAAGAAACTTTCGCCTGACGCCACCTGGTGCCTAACTCCTCTTAACATACACATACACATATCTGTTTTAAACTATTGCCGTTTATTTCACACATTTTATAAAAAACAAATGTCTACCTTTAAAAAATGTCAACTGCGATAAACTAATGGTTGCAAAAAAGTGTTATTTTCAGTGTAATAGGTTTCTTTTTTAAGGGCTTCCTCCTCGTTTACCAGCCATAGCCTGTGGAGATCGCCACACAGTTGTCACATTTCAGAGTTGCCTCTCATACATAAGTATCCCAAGATTTCAAAAAGCTCCCTTGCAGTGGCCCTGCCAGCAGAATAGCAGTTCCTCCCTCAAATCATCTGCATCAATGAAGCTGACACCCATTCTCAGTTAAAACAGTCTTTGTGTCAGCTGCCTCATTCCACGTGCAGTGCAAAGCAGCTGTAAAACACATCGTCTTTAAGCTGCTCTTCTATGTCCTCTGACGTATCATAAATGCTCATTGGGTTGGTATTATCTGACAGAAGAATAGCTTGGTTTGCCATTAAGATTAGCCGTTAGTTTGCATGGTGGATGCCATGTCAATAGTACAGGGAAGCATTAATTCCTCCACCACTGTGTGTAGCTTTCTACACTGTGGAACGAGTTGCAGGCTTTAGTAAAGCTAATTTCTTGTGCAAGGCAGTTTATTAGCTTTTGTCTGAAAAAAGTAAACCTCTAGCTCTGGATGCTTTGTTTCCAAGTGATGTCTTTGCTGGCTTCAAAGTGTCAGAAGCTAGCACAACACACGGTGGTCTCTCATTGTGCAGCGTTGTGCAGGTGAGGCCAAAAAAGCAAGATGTGTCTCATCATATATATTCTTGTTTGTAATTGGAAACAAAGACATATTTGGTGAAGATTTATCTTCTGCTTGGCGTGTAGGTGGGAGCCATATCAAAAACTCCTTCATGTTTTTCTAGCCGCTTCCAAAGTTTGCCTCAAGCCCCCCCCTTCCTGCTCTATACACACAAAACATTTTAGAACATAACTGTTCTAAAGCCAGGAGGGCTTTGAAACAATATTTCTTTAAGAATTTGAACACGTTCGATTTACATACCAATGATAAAACCCCCACAAAACATAAACCGAAGTAAACGGATAAGTCTGTTAACTCTTATTAATGAGCTGCCGAGATATCCTCCATAGACATGAAATGAAATGCCTTCTAATTCTCTATGAAAACAGTGCTGGACGATCAAATGAATTAAGATTATTGCTGTTTGGGTATCACTTTGGAACAGCTGCAGCTTGGGCACTGCCAGATGACATCATGTTCCAACAAAAAGCACTCACAGGGTGCGTGTCTTCATGGAGCCTGTGTGCCAAGTGTGAACTTTGGACCACTGAGCTGGCCTCAGATACCGATCGACAATGAGAAGTTGTGTTACTGCCAGTACTAGTCCTCAACCCCCTTGGTCTGACTTATAGGTAAAGCACCACTCAGTCATTCCTGACTCTCTATGCCAGCCGTATGGGTGGCCTTCTTTTCATACTGACGACCAACCATTTTTATTAATTTAGCTGTCATGCAGTGTTCCAATCAAACAGTCGGTCACAGAATCTCTCTCAATTGATTTTCTTTACTCCTTTAACGGGAAGAAAGACCACCATAACGTATTTAGTTTTGCTTTCACCATCAATGCAAGCACATGAAATTCTTCTCCTTTGGTGAAGTGTAGAACGTAAGTATTTAAAACTAATTTGGTTGTTTAGGGGAGGCCAAAGGCACACCAAGCAACACGTGGAGCTGGACTCATTCAATGTCAACTGGGATGTATGATGGACAGCATTGGCCCCGATTAGGCACATGGTCCATTTTCATGCAGAAGGTTTGTATCTCTGTACATAAACTGCATGACTCTGATGTGTTTTTTCCATTTTAAATCCCAAAATACCACCACACAAAGGACATGCCAAGTTAAAAATACATGTGTGCTCACTTTTTAGCAGGTAATCTAAATTCAAAGTTTTGTAAAAACTTTGATTGTTTGCTTGAACTTGAAATGATACATATTGAAAATTGTTTAAAAATCAAACAAACTGAGGAGCGTGAGGAGTTATTTTTAAATAATGCCAGTAATTTGAATCAGTTTATGATTATCTTGACTTGCAGTGTAAGCATTGTGTGGCGTGTGGGGGACACTGACGCTGTCAAAGCCTCTCTTTCCCAGCAAGCTTTGGCCCACACGAGGCTGGCTGGCCTGGTTCCTGTTAATGGGTGTTGGGGGCCCTCTGGATGCCTTCAGTTTCAGAGGAGCTGAAATGGCTGCAGGAAGAAAACAGAGACAGATGCAATAAGATGAAAAGTAGCAAAACACACTCATCTTGAGCAACATGTCTCTCAAGAAAAAAAAAAAAGCAAAAATAATAAAAACAACAGATGAAAATGGAGAATAAAAATAGCAGTACAGTGTGCGATATGCTTGGTATAATTTTAAGATAAAGCCAGGAAGGTGAATGTCTCCTACATAAAATGTTGGTTTAGATAAGTGGAAGTTAAAGCGTGAATGCTGCAGGGGGGTTATACTACAGCACTTTCTATGATAGAGGACAACTGAACAACAAAAGGTATGTTGAAAGCTACCAGATGAGTGTATAAGGTTTAGATGAAGTCACACCAAGTTATTTGTTTCTCTTTTTCAGTGGTAGCTAGAGGAAGCCGACAGATATGTAGCCGTTGCTATGTGGTCTCACCTAAATCCTTCACGATGGTGGCCAGTGACTGTCGTGGCACGATCTTAGTTTTTATAGGAGTCTTGGTGGCTTTGGGAAGCCTGATAATACCTGAAGAACCAGACAAGTTAAATCAAACATGAAAGTAAAGAATAATACACACAACACTGAGTGCTTTAAATGAAAGCATTGAAAATTTAATTACAGGAAGTGCTCTACTGCCTCGTTTAAATATCCAACAGGAAATAACTAAATCAATCACAAAACATGCTTTATATCATCCCTTTTTTTAAAATTGATTTCTCAATAAATTTTCATGGATGTGTGTGCTTACATTCAGCTTTGACTGCATTGGCATTGATTGAGGCATAGGGTCTACGTGCAGCACGCCGCGGCTGCAAAATGTCCTCGCACACTCGGCGGGCGATACGGGTGAGCTTGGTGGTCTGCAAGATGAAAGTCTGCCGGTTCTTGGCCAGCAGCTTGGCTCGCCCCTCATTGCGGGTGAATGGTGACATGCCCTGGACCTCCTGACGTGTCATGTGAGCACGAGGGCCTGACTCCTGAACAAAAGAGAAGAGGAGATGCGTCTAGAATACCCCAAAACATTTAGTAAAGGTCATTTAGTTCATGTTCATCAGAAGTGTGTGGATGTCGTTTGTTCTACTTTGGTCTATTAGATACGCTTTAAACTAGCGGATTGATTGATAGGCAAAGACTTACAGAGCCAGCTCGAGTTGCTCCCTCAAGCTGTGTGGGGGTCTTCAGGCCTCCATATTTCTTCCAGTATATCCAGCAAGAGGCACACAGTCTGCACTGCATATTCGGGGGACCCCAGGCATACCACTGAGGAGACTGGGCCGCTGGTTACACCAGATATAATGAGTGAGTTAGATTACAACAGCAAATTAGAAAATTCATGTTTTGTCACCACAAAACCTGGAAATGGTGTTTTGCATAATTTTTCAATGACATGTTTACTTAGCATTTCCAAGGAACAACATTTTTTAATTGGTGAAAAAAACAAACAATAAACCAATATACTTTTTGCTATGAGAGAGTCAATGCAGTAGTGAAAGCTGCAGACATGTGGTATGTTAACATTATCCAACATAGATAAAGGTGAACTTTTTAAACGTGTATTTGTTTGCCAGTCATGTGCTGTACTTACTGTGACAGCTCTCACAGCTGAGTCCTTTCTGAAAGGATGCTGATCCATTCATACCAGGCTTACTTCCTGGCACCATGATTTGATTAGGGTTGGGTTTAGTACTTGAAAAGAGAGAATGAGGAAGTTAAATAGCTTTTCTGAAAGGATGGAAACTCATTCTTTGCATAGCAGGGGATACCAATACTCACTAGGTGGGGATATACACTTGCTTGAGTTTGCTGTCTGCCTCTGCTGCCTTTAGCCGTTTCTGAGAGGGAACATTTGCAGCCGATTACATGCTAACACCATTTAAATTTAATCAGGATTTTTTTTTTTGTGTTGTGTGACTTGCTGCTCAAACCTGCTGAATGTATCGGTCGGTGGTCTTCCACATGTAGTAAAACTGGACAACACTGGCAAGAGACTTCCAGGGGAGCTAAAGGAAAGAAATGCACATTTCACACTTAGGGTCACACTTTGTGTTTTAGTTAATCATTTAATCAATAATTAATAATATCTAATAATTATTGGTTAATAATTTGACAGCTGAAATTAAATAAACACACACACGCATATATATATATATATATACACACACACACACGTATGTGTGCGTGTGAGTGTCTGATGTCTTTTTACATCCCCACACCTATAATTACTAGAATACAGCTGCTACCACTTCATGACTGATAGGTGTGGGTTTACATGGGCTAAAATAGACCACCTTGTTTCAAGGAAATATTCTTTTAGAGTTCTTACTTAAAATAAATGGTAAAACATGTCAAGAGTGTCGTGTTTACCCTGATCCTTTTGAAACTAACACCGATTCACATCTCTTTTAAGAGTTTTCAAAAGATGACTTAGAACCAACAATTAGGTTATGTATTTTCAAGTCCCAGATATCACGTCTGAGACATTACTCCCTGTTTTATAATTTTATGTTAATAATAACTGGTACCTCTTGCTCAAACGTCCACCTCAAATCAATAGTTCTGTGTCTAGGTCTGTAATGTACCAATAATTGGGATGTTTGGCTGTGTAGAAAACATTTTAAAAACATGGCCCTCAATATTTTCTTAGTAATGTTAGCAGTATCAAAAAGCTTACAAAGTCCTGGCGGATGTCATTGAAGTCTTTGCCATATTTTTCCAGAGCCTCCTCAAACAGCATGGCTTCAGAGGCGCTCCACTCCTCCATCTCATCACGGCAGAGCACTGGACCCCCCTGAGGGACCAGGGTGGACATAGCTTTGGCCAGGTCATAGTTGTTTTTTTGCAACGTGTCCATGGCATGGAACTGAATAGGGAATAGAGGCAAAATGTTTTGATGAAATATCAGTTTCAGTTAGACATACTTACTGCTGATTCTGTGCAACTGATTCATTAATTGATTTTTGTCCACAATATTATTGTGAATTCACTAAATGAGGTCATTCATTCTGTAAACCAGCAGGATTCTAACAGGGATCTATGTTTAACGACAAAGAGTAGTTTGTTGAAGGTTTGTTAAAACTTGTAACATCTGTTGAACCCAGACTAAAATTATATGGGCTTGTGAGCTGTCATTGTGCACTTTATTTCACATTTCTAAGGTATCCAATAAGTCACAATCAAAGAGAAACACAAAACAGGCCCCATGAAGAGCTTGGCCTTAATTGTTTAGTAGTATTTAAGTGCCCCTCACCAGTGTTATATCCCTGGAGGCTGCAGCTGCACTCATGTGGAGGCTGGGCTGACGGATGGAGCTGCTGCAGTCCAAGGCTCGAGCAAATGTACCCACAGCTCTGAAACAAACAGATGGCAACCACTGATCTACTGACTGATCAAAAAACTAACAGGCAAACGTGTTGTTGATGGTGTCTATAAAATAACCGCAAGCGTGATTTCACATGAATCAGTGAATTATTGAATCAAAGTGAACACTGCAGGTTCCAATAACTGACTCTTCAGAACCTGTCTAGGACTACAGCTTTAAAAGTACTAATAGGTTGCTGTAAACATTGCTAATGACAAGTTTAGAGCTTGCTATAGGAGTGGGATTACGTGATAAATTTTGTTGTACCTGTACAATGAAACTGTTACTGTTAGGAAACTGTTACCTTGCAACCACCAGGAACTGGTCAATCTGTGGGTCTCTGAGCTGGTTGTTAGGGTCCCACACTTTGGTCTCCAGCTTCTCTTGGACCCGGTTATCAGATTCACCTGTAGCAGACAGAAACTGGGTTTAGCCCCTGCTTCTAGGAACTGCGTGAAAGTTGAGTCCTGAACCTTTTGTCATTCATTTACATTTCTTGCATTGCCGGAAAATCATTTTAAAGCAAAAGAAAAGTTCAAGCTGTGAATGTGTTGCTCACCTTCAGCTAGCTTGTCAGGAATGTCGGCTTGATATTTTGAGCCAACACGGATCTCACCCTGATCCGCCAGCAGTGTCTTCTGGACAGGGTCAAATACCAACGAATAGAAGAAACAATCCTGCAGGGAAGACTTGAAGGTTACTACTGTTCCCTGTGCTTTGAGTTTTGAAGTCTTTGTGTACTGTTTTCTAACGTGAAACACAGGTGCTAGAAGCAGAAAATGTGACTGTGCCTTACTTCTTTATCCAGGTAACCAGCCAAAACGTCAGTTTCATTTAGGAGGGTGACGTTGCATTTCCCTCTGAGGAGAGAGTGAGAAGCAGAGCGGTTGTAAAGATTTTAAGAAAGTAAATCCCTGATACTGATAGAATGTTTACACTGATGGCATGTTTCCAAAATTAGCTACACAGCTCTACACTGTATTTTTGCATTTCCACAAGGGGCTTGCCACACAAAACGGGGGCAACTTCAGCTCCTACTCAGCCAGGGCTTCATCAAGACTGAACAGGCGATCCCATTATGTTTGTGATCACAAACGCTGAAAATGTCCAAGATATGAACCAACACCGCGGTCTAACACTGAGGTGTAGTTGGTCGATAGTTGCAGCAATGTTTTTGACTGCTGTCTTGGTCAAGGTTCCATCAGGGCTGAGTAGGGCCTTATGGAAGAATGCCGATTGGCCTGGGAGTCACGATTAAATGGCAAGCATACCATTTCAAAATCACTTGGCAACAACAAATGTCAAACTGAATTAATTCTGTGATCATAATCGTACATTCCTAGTAGAAAAACATGGCAGCCCAAAAACAGAAGTGTAGCCAGTAACTATGTTCTTCATTGTCATCTTGTGCTTGTGTCGCGTACAAAAAAGGTCCCGTGCCGGTCAGCCGGTCTTTATCATAATTTGCTATGTAAATCACCTAAACTGTGTAGAGTCTTACCAGGCCAATCCGTGTAGGGCTGATTACGCACTAATGGAAAAGCACCATAAAGGTACAAGACTAAGGCCAAAGTACCGACAAGCAGAGAACAGAGGCAATTACACAATGCGCAAATGCTGATTTTTGCATTTGCATGTCACAGTGCATTTATTCTACACAGGATCAAGACAGGACCCACCACATTATACCCCAAAACAATCAAACATCAACTCAGTTAGGTCATTTTGGAATTTAAAAAAATGTAAGTTGCTTCTGAACATAGTAGGGCAGCTACTTTAGATGAGGAAAAGAATTATAACGTCAACTTTTTGGAGAGCTGACCAACATTTCACTCGAAATTTAGCAACATTATCATAAGCTCAAACCTCTTCTGAACATAAAAGTACAGGAGCAGAACAAATTTTCTTATTTCAAACAGGCACTATAAGGAATTTGCAGCATACTTTTAAAGATCGCCACTTACCGTATGTGTGTAGCAGGTAGAGATTCAAACTGTCGAGAAAGAAAGAGTTCCCTGTGTTTGAGCTGGTGCTTCTGTTGTTCAGACAGCACTGGCTGCTTTGACTCTTCCTCAAATTCTCCTAAAAAAACACACACACACACACACACACATTAACATAAGAACTGATTTTCCATGCCAAAGATTAGAATCAATGCACACATACACACAAATATATATTCACAGATACATATACAATGATCCCAAACACATCGCTCAGGCAATGGAGTAGTGGCTCTGTTAAAAGGCATTTAAGGCCCTGGATTGGCCTAGCCAGTCTCCATATCTCAACCCCTTAAAAAGTTTTTGGTGGTAGTTGAAAGTCGCTTTTAACCAGCTTCAGCCCTAAAAACATAACTACTCTAAGGGAGATCTGTATAAAAGAATGGACCAAAATACCAGCCGCAGTGTTTAAACCTGGTGAAGACTTACAGGAAAATGTTTGCCCTGTCATTGTCAACAAAGGTTATGTAACTACGTTACAAAGTATTGAGTTGAACCTTTGTTATTGAACAAAAACCTATTTTCCATCATAATTTACAAATAAATTCTTTCAAAATCCAACAAGGTGATTTCCTGATTTTTTTCTCATTTTACTTCTCATAGATAAAGTGCACCTATGATGAGAATTACAGACCCCTCTCATCTACCTAAGAACGAGAACTTGCACAATCAGTGGCTGACTTAATTCTTTTGTTGCCCCACTGTGTAAACACACACATATATACATACACACGCATGCAAACACACATATACAAACATATATATGTGTATGTATGCATGTATGTATATGCATATGTACATACATTTATATCTGTGTTTCCTTGCGGTTATCAAAGATGTTTTTAAATTAAGCCACAGATGGATGTGGGCGTTTGTGTCTGTTCTTGGCCGCTAGATTGCGCATTCCTAATTTCAGGGCGGGTGAATAATATTTTGCAAGCTCGAGGGGAGGGCCTATTTCACTTCATTTCTATGGACTCCACCCCTGCACTCAGCCACAGGAAACCCTGTGAGTGAGGGCATGGCCAAGCAAGAGCGAGAGAGACGGTGAGAGAGAAAAGAGACAGAAATCTAGTGAGAAGGACAGTACCACAAGCCCCACCCCTTTTCCTGTTAACCTCTCAACCCCCTCCTCCCTCGTCCAGCTAGTCCCTGCCTGACAATGTGGGAAACCCTGTGTACCAAACCTGAGGCGCCCATCCCCCCTAACATGTATCCCCAAATCACACATGTAGGCTACGTGTTTTTTTAATCCAATTTTATATGTATACACATAAATATTTGTTGTTGTTTTTTTAAACACATATGTATCTATATATTTGTACATAAAGAACAACCATACAAATAAAACAAATAAAAAACAGCACGCACGCAAGTCAGAATTAACTCATCACATTTGGAAGCCCTCAGGGATAGATCAAGAGTCTTTGGTCTACAAAAAAAGATGTGCGTTTGTCTGAGTGGGTGGGGGGTGGGGTGCAGACTAAAGGGGAGAAGAGGAACCGTTGTTACAATTGGAGACTATTTAGAATATACAAGCAGAAGCAATGTGAATAAATGGCTAAACGTGATGGTAAATGTGAACAGAAGGACAAAGTCCTCTTCAGACTTGTAATGCACCGCATTAAGCTGCTACAGTGACATCTTTCAGTCATTCTGGCATAGATCAGTTTTACATTATTGTCCCCTTTGGCTTCGTTCAGACTACCATGATAGTGGGGACAAGTGGCATACGATGCATGTCAGAGTTTTTAATACTACATCATCCCCAATGCCATTGTTATGTTCATTCACATCAGCCTGACAGGCACACTGAGGTTCTGTAAACTATTCCTGGGTTAGTCTCATTATGTTAAAGTCAGCTGAACAGAGTCTGGGACAAAGGCTATGGTTTAAGTTTTTTTACTTTAAAATACCACAGTTTCAAGTTATCCCCTGAACAATATAACTTCCTAAACTGTCTCCACGTCTGCGTCAGACAGAAGCTGCAACACAGACAGAAAAAAAGACCAAAAGGCAGTGATATTAAAGTAATACATGGATAACAATGATTTACATTTCAGCTTGACTTGACACAGGGTTGCAGCCTTTAGATCTCAATGAACATAGCCCACAGATAGCAAAAACTATCAAGCTAAGCATCTGGAATCACAACCTGCATCACAAAATGAGTTTTTGTGGCAGAATGATTTGAGGAAAAAGTGGAAAATAAACTACAGGGCATTAATTTGTTAATTGAGGTGATACAGTTTCCCCTAACTCAGAATATTAACAACACAAACGTTGCGGAGGGAGTCTGCAGCCTTTATAAGGACTTGCCAGGCTGGCAACAGCACAACAAGTAATGAAATGATACTCATGACAATCAGTCAAATCAGTACCAATGGAACAGAGATATGTTTTTGGTACCAGGAACGGAGAGGAACTGCAGCATCAGTGCATCCCTTAGAGTGAGGTTTGTTTGTTTTAAATCTTTGTCTAGTGGGCTGGGAATGCAGACCTGCTTCCAGAAGAAGTGGTGCCAAATTCTCTAAACCACAGGAAATGTACGTTTATGCCTCTAAATTGATCAATTCCTTTATTGGTCCCTTTAGATGCTAGACATGTCCACTGTTTGTCGGCCTAACTTACTGTACACACAGGTACAATCTACATTGAATAGGAATACTCTCATAACACGTCATTTATCTAATAGAATTCATATGCATAAATTCAATGATAAGATTAAATGATGAATGAATGCTCATACAATGAATCGCAAAAGCAGACGAGCTACTGAGATAGACTGTTGTAAAAATGTTTATGATTTATACGATGGGGCAGGAGTTATTCAGAACTGGGCACAGACTGCTTCGGGACCTCCAGTGACTCACCTCTCCTCGCCCTGCTCTCGTCTGCTCTAATTTATATTCAGCATTACTCTAATCATTAACTTGGGCTTCAGACTGGGGCTCCACACCCCTCTCTCAGGTAGCTGATGGGCTATTGCCCACTTCCAGGTTCTACCTTCACTGTCTTCAGGAGACACGTCACTGTGGTGGGTTCAATGTCTACTGGGGATGCTGACTGGGAGCCTTTCTTGATTTTTATAATCAGTAACCACAGTTTAAATATAGCTCTAGTTTGTGTTGCTGCCATTTGTGTTTTTTTTCCTGGTTAATTTTCTTTACAGATGAAGCCACTAGTTACCCAGTTTTGAATCAATGGTGTGCGTATTAGTAAAATCTCATTAATTTCAAACACTATACAAGAAAATCTGGTGAAAAGTAATCATTTGTTGTCAGTGGATTTACATCATATATGTGTGTGCCCAGTAGAAATATTCAAAGACCAAAATTCAGTGCAAGCAAGTATGCATACTGGTTATGTGATATGATCATGTTTGAAGCTTCACAGCCCTCAATCATAAATCCGTATATTACTTTACTCTTTTGTTGATATCAAAACCAAGTGGAGCTACCTGGTACCCATATTATTAGAATAGATTCTATTAGTAACATGATCTAATTCTGATTACTTTAGTAATTTTGAATATATTATATGTGTTCCAAAGACAGAGACATGACACATACATTTAAAACTGTTTGAATAGTTAAACAGTATATCAATGCCTTTTCAGGTAAGGACTTTTAGGTTGTTGCATCAACCCTGGCAGCCAAAAATGCAGAGCTTGGGATTTCTACTTAAACTGCAGAGGAACACTTTTTCTGAATAGTGATGCTGTCATGCTAGGCCTGGAAAGACAATAGCCCACAGAACCAGATGTATGACAGGTTAACCATCTCTCTCAGAGGTTGTAATGAGGCATTATTTGCACAAAGTAGAGATATTCCATACTCTGTATTATTTTTTCAGTATCAAACTCTTTGACCGTCAAGAGCATTCAATTCTGATGTTTAGTTAACATATTATGGCAGAGCTGAAAATAACAAACACCCACCTATTCACTTAAAAAATCTTTTTGAGAATTCGCAAAAATTATTAGCTGGCTTTTTTAAATAAAGGTTTCCTCAAAAGGGGCATCCTTAGTCTGCAAAGATTTTTTCCTTGCTGAATTTTCTGCTGCATACATTTGCTAAAATAACCTATGATAACATACAATTTAATATCTAATACGTGCACAATGTTTTGGAATGTGTATCTAAGCAGCTTGTCTTGGTTAAAAAGAACTCTTTCTGCTATTGGTGGTCTGTTTAAACTGATCAAAGATTTGTTGAGTAAGTAGTCATTCAATATGGCACTTGAATGAGCACACTGAATGAACAATGCGGTCACATGCATCCCAGACTCTCCACATGATGGGAGTGTGGATTAGGGATGTAATGTAAACTCTTGATGTATCTTAAAAAAAGGAAGGAACAAATGCACTTCAACACAAAAAACTGCTTGCTAAAATCATTTGCTCAATAGGACCAGACAGTTATAATTATATAATTGTACATAATTACTACTTCGTGGAAATTATTAATGTAAAGTTTGCATGGCTGCATTCAATTTGGTCGCAAAAAATATTTTTAACCAGTTACTAGTGGCAGTGACTTCAGAGAACATGTCGATCTTTAAGGCTCCGTTTTTATACAGTTAAAAGAAAGACATGGTCGGATATCGTTTACATGATTATCAAATCACTGAAATATTCGTGAAAACGTGTGTTCAATCTTAAATATTTGTAAAAAATTTTATGAGCAATTTCTAAGCTCATGTACTTTTAACATTTTTATCCTAAAATTGATATGTTCCATGCTTAATTCAACAATATAGTAGACTTGGTTGCAATTTAAAACACAAAAGTTTCTTTAGGTTTTTTTTTTCGTAGAACACAACAATAACACACACTCATTTTGTAGAAGAGGTGCCTGGACTGGGATGACTGGGCACTACTCACTTGCATTGCTGTCTGCCAGAGTGTTGAGGTTGCCCGAGATGTCTCGTCTCCTAAATAGACACACCACTTTGGCCTCGACATTCCCATTAGCTGTCTGTAAAAGGAGAGTCAGTGGTTAAAGTCAACAACAACAGGGTTTCCCTTCAGTGATGAGGTAAGTTTTTACAATGTTTCTTGATAAAGAACATACATAGTGCTGCCACACTAGGATACTCAAGTTAACTTGGCACTCGATTCGGCACGAAATGCTGAAAATGATCATCCCATCATTTAGTTTGGTTCCCTTTCACAGGCACGTTTGAAAGCAAAAAAACACCCAGTTCAACATCGCCTCATTACAGCAGCTTCTTGTTTGAAGCATTATTTGCCTAAATAAGCCCTGACCAGGAAGAAAGGAGAAAACCTGGCTAAATGATTAGCTAAGATAAAAACCTGAAAATCCACCAACTGAAGGCAACTTGTCAAAACCCAAAACAAAAAATGAAACAGCAATAAATGTATGCAGTGTTGGAGTTTCTCTCATTAATTTGGGGTTTAAACGGTGGGTGAAAAAGATGACAGAGAGCAGTAGACTGTGACCCGCTGATGGGGTTACGCAGACACCGAGGGAAGTACGTCACATGGTCACTGGATTGCCAGAGATTGGGTGAGCTTTCACACCTGCCCAAAGGAAGTGGATAATCTAGGGTCATGACTTCTAGTCTGGGCTGAAGGAGTGTGAAAGTGACCTAATTAAAATCAGGGTGTATCATGTTGCAGATGTCAGAACAAGAAATAATGCACATAGGGTAGCAGAGTATCTGATATTTTTTTTCAATTTAATATTGCTCCTAAAACAAAAAAGGGGCTGCATTTATTTTCGATGTCTGGGAATATTGGCTAGCTTTACTGTCCTGAAGCAGCAGATGCTGACCAGTCAGGACAGCAATGCATCCCATGTCCTCAAAAGCACCAGCACACAAAGACTTAAAAAAAAAAGAAAAAGGCATTGCTATTTTCATGACCCCACTCTATGAGTTAAAAATCCAGACAAATGGCACATATCCCCTAGTGCCAACTCAGTGTGGCACGGCCCGGCTCTACAGGGTATTTTTGCATTTCCACTAGGGGCTGGCCCCACTAAACAGTTACAACTTTACACCTACTCGGTTGGGGTTCCATCAGAGCTGAGTAGGGCCAACGGCGGACTGCCAGGCACTGATTAGCACTAGAGTCACATGAGCTTTCCCAATATTGTAACAATTTTTATTCATTCATTAATTTTGGTTTTCCATTGCAGGTTCTATTTCTGATGGGTAGACACATTCAAATGTTTGAATAGGAAAGACTGTGAATATGAACTGTTTATTTGCATAAACTTGATACCATAGGAACAGATATCAGTCCGTCAGTGGAATATGTTGTCAGTTGGTACAGCGGGGGTCTTAAAGTATGTGTATGTGAACAGGTCAATGAGAAACACACTGCAAAGTGCTTGGCCTTAAGGTGAACTAGCCTGTGATAGAAATGGGACGTTTATTATTGATTTGCATGTAACCATTGCCATTACCTGGCTACTACCAAATAATCGGATATAGAATTAACTTCCCTTTGAGATGCTGGCTAGCATAACACGATTAAAGGAGTATCTGTAGATCACAGGACTCAACAGTGTTTATGAAACTACGCTTCTGTTTCACACTTTTAGGGATCAGCTGGTGGTTCCATGCACCTACTGGAAAGTGGCCAACATCTCATAATGCTAGTAATAGCATGTGAAACATTCAGAGCACTCTGAAAGGTTGCCATAAGACAATCATGACATGAGTAACGTTAGAGGTCACCTTTCTTCTACAATCGCCATGTTAAATATGCTGACCTGTCTTTATTCCAGATGATACAAACCTCCTGTTACACTGCAAAAGCCCTTCAATGTAAGTGTTATGTAAATTAACTTAGTCCTTTGATGGAAAACAACTCAGTGTAATTTACCAATAATGTTACGTAAGTGGTATATGACTCCCAAATACAGTCTATACTACATGTGAAGTTTTAATAGGCCACTGTTTGATAGAATATTCTGCATATGTGGCAAAAAGGAGAGTACAAACCTTGTTGAGTTCTTCTATTCTTCGGATCAGGTAAGGGTTGCTGGAGGAGTTCTCAAAGTAAACATAGTCTAAAACAAACACAAAGAAAAAAGGGAATGTATGCATTAGGGCAAAGTTTAAAATCACTGGGCTAAGTGCAAAAAATCATTTAAAAAAACTAAGAACCCCAAAACAATAAGAAATCATACCCCTAATTCAACACCTAGTGTAGTTTCCTGTAGTTTCCTAGAGGAAACTACACTGGTATAGAAAGAGAAAGGGACAGTACAAACAATCCATTTGATCTTTGTTGATTATGTAATAATATCAATAAAAGGTTAACTTACATAATCATCTTCATGGGTTATTTTTCATATTGATTTGAAGGTTCTTTTTAAAAGTCTATTTAAAAGAGTTCATGGATTGTTGACTATTTTTGTCTTTTATAGTGTACCACCACCACAACAATTACATTTCAGAGGCAATAGCTACATGACTTTATCTGCTTAAATTCATCAATGGTATTTTTTTTCTTTCTATCAAGTAATAACCTTCTTACTCAAGAGAAAGCTAGACTGTAGGTAAACATTAGACTGTATGCACACACCTGATTTGGATTATGATCCATAGCATTATCAATATGGCTGTAGGTTTTACTGCCAGCCAAAAGACTAATTGAGAAGAAATGTAAATAGAAAAGTTGTTTTATTTCAGTTGGCACATGTATTGATGTTGTGATGGCATGGTGACTGTTGACATTGATTTCTTGCTCCATTTAACACACTGAGATAGAGTCTGAATATGGAGGCATCACCTCAGTGTTCAGAGTTAAGGAATATTAAAATCATTCAAATGAATTTCACATAACTGAATGAAACACTAAAAGGGGATGCGCTTGGCTATACATGAGTCTAATTGTAGCTTTTAAAGAGTCGCAGGAACAAGTTTTAAAGTAAAAAAAAAAGTAAAAAGAAAGAAAAAAGACATATAGCTGGTATGGAAATACAATCAGAAGATAGATGGTGATAATGTTAGATATTGGGGCTGCTTGGTGTGGATATCTGCAGCTGGGATGATGGAGTGTGCTAGGTGCTTGAGGGTGAATAAAGGGGAGGAAGTCTTTTGACTAATCTCTGGAAAGGATTAAGATCTTATTTGCCAACTGGACACTGTGTGCCACTAGTGGAGTGTTAACCCAATCAGAGAACTACCTGCACACCCAGTTGTCAAAAATACTTAATGCGACTTTTGATATCAACCGAAGTCTAACAACCTTTTCCAATGTACAAATGAATAAAAATGTATTTTGATAATTGCTGGGTGTTAAACACTCAAGCAATTTAAGCGCATTACTGTATGGTTTACCCAATATTAATTCCTAAAGCATAAGAATGCCATAGCTGTTGCATACATGGACCAGCACTGACAACACACTGCATTGATGGAGTGAAAGTTTGACATCAATTTAATCAGCGAAATAGCTTTTTCTGAGAGATAAAACATTTTTATGCAGCCTCTTTCACATTATGTGCAAAGCCTTCTCATGTTTGTTGACTGTACACAAGCCTGACATATTGAGCCTTTTGTGGTATGACTTCTTGAGAAGTTCTATCAGCGCTATGGAATTGTGGTGTATGTTAACTAAATGTCCACTCATTTGTTGCAGACGTCTTGCAGGGACTTTTTTTTAACCAGTCCCTTAATGAAAAGTCTGGGAGATCGATGAGTGAGCACAATGAAGAGACAGGAAAAAATATTACAGCACATTTACTGCAGCTTTGCCTCATTTTCTTTCTTCTGGCCTGCATTCTCTTTGCTCATCACTTATGCAGATGCATTTAGTTACATGCTATCAACAGAAGAAAAGGAGCCTTCCCTCTTAACTCAATGTGTTATCATAAAAACAAACTATTTTACCTCATGCCAAGCTTAAAACATGTTTTTGACATATTTCCACCAATCCTCGCATGTCCAGTTAGGATAATACAACAATAACTATGTGTGGAAGAAAGCTAAGCAAGGTTGTGCACCTCTTTCATGCCTTCCTATTCTTCCAATTTTTTTAAATTTTTATAGATCAGCAAAACTGACATAACTTTTAAGAATTTGGGACATGGTCATTACAGTCAATCAATATAAGGAAACACCCTATTAGGTTATTTTAACATTTCAGAACATTACAAATGGAAGCAAAGTGAAGAGAAAGAGCATTCCCAATATGTTATGTTATAAAACTAAACTATCATGAAGACATGGATCATAGAATCCTGCAGAGTAGTGTTTAATCAGCATGACCCAAATACCCTACTGACCCTTGGAGTGGTCACACAGCCAAGACTGTCATGTCGTCTTTCGACGAGTTTTGCTTCCACAACAAATTACATCTCTCAAATGTATTTCCTAAAGCTAAAAGAACAAAGGAAAAAAGCGTTTTTTAAAAAAGCTTAAAAAAATTGGCATCAGTGGTAAAGTCTATTTCTCCAAAACTCCTGGTGAAGTTCTACCAAAATGCTGTTTAAATCCCTATGGAGCCCATGTAAGGTGGACATCTTAGACATCTACAAAACATCTACCTCAAACCTTTTACTCTACTGTAAAGCATAAGAAAGGTAATTGGGCTTCAAATGTAAATGTTAACTCTTTTATGTATCATTGGCTATGAACTTCATCTTCTAGACTTGGAAAATATGTATTGCCTTTAAGAAAAGACTAATAACTCCCTGTCTGATATTTCTACACAAGCAACATTATGTATTGTTCATGGTACGTTTTATAATGCAAAGCAAACAATTCACCGGCTAAAAGTTTAACGATAGAGAGCCAACAATGGACAGACATGTATGATACCAAAATACGTTTTCATACATCATAGCTTCTCAACTAATTCGTACGTCACGTGACCTAAAGCTAACAAAACTTAGCAATCAAAGTTAGCCCGGCCAACATAATCCGTTGCAAATTAAGTGCTATGGCGGAAGAGATAACGAAATGAACCTTTCCTTTCAACGTAGCCAGCCGATTTACCCGCGAAAAATGTTGCAGTAATTATTTTGATAGTATTATATTACCAATGGTTCTGCTAATGCTAATAGCATTTACTTTCTTTTCAGACAATAACATGTCCAGTCTCCGAGATAGAAAATGTGACAATTTGCGGCTGCTTAATTTCCTATTGTAACAGACTAATATGCTGCATCCACATAGTATTCTTGATTTATATTTTTCTGCAACTTTAAGAGACAGTCCACGGTGCCCCCGAACTGCTTGCTTTTGGATATTTGGATGAAAACTGGCCATATTTCGGTAAAACAAAATAATCGGGACATCACAACCGTTTGTTTCTAAAGTTGGTTTTAAAAATTGCTTATTGTGCTGCATACAGAAGCAACGCATAGCCACAGCAGTAGCCGAAAGCGTAAAAAGTATGCATTAACTGCTCGTTTACACTACTATCTGTATGCTTTAACATATTTTACGGTCCTCTGATCAAAACTTGACGTACAGACTAAGGCTAGTAAAGAGCTAGCTTTGGTTAGCGGCTAACCGAACAGACAGCTAGCGGCTAGCTAGCCACCTTACTGTTGAAAATGAACAATCACGTTGTGTGCGTGTAAAGGGGGGGTGGGGGGGTCTCTAAAATATAAACTATTTCTTACCTCCCACTCGGTACATGTTGGCCGCCATCCTTTTGCAACCTTTATCAAAATCAGTCCCAAGATATCCCTTGCTTGGGCAAAAATATCGACGAGGTTCTTTTTTATTCCTTCATTTATCTCAAGACACCCCCCCGTGAAACAAAGCCGGCTCCCGGCACAACAAGCCGAGCTGTGGCGGGTAAAAAGTTTAAAGTTTCCGTTAGAAATGCTCCTGGGGTTATCCTCAAAAATATAAGTATATTTTTCGGCCCCTCAGACGACCTTCCTCTTCTCTTCCTCACTCACTCACGCACTCATTCACACACAGCTAGCCTGTCTCTTGCTCCACTCTTCCTCCCATCCTCCGCTCCAAGCTTCATCCTCCTCTTCTTCACCTCCGCTCAGTTAGCATACACACTCGCACATAAAAAAAACACACTCACTGGTTCCCTTCGATCGTCGGCAGACCGTCATCTTCGGAAACTGTCGGCAATCTCCGGTAGCCACCACGACTTCGTCATTGGCGCTTGTTTGATTACATAAAGTATTTTAATGCCTGCATGATAATATTAATTGCATTTATTATGCAGAATCTTGATGTAAGTATAAAAGCTACAAATACTCAAATTGTAGTATATATAATTTGATATCTATCTAAACACAAACATACATATGTACTGTATATATAGATAGATTATATTTTTTGTCATTTAAACTTTGATATTGAACAATCATATCACAGGATTTTGAGCTACACAACTGAAACTAAAACTTTATTTACTCTCATAAAAAGACAGTCTAAAGACATCGTCTAAAAATATACTAGAGCTTTGTTTTTTGTCAATTAGGATTGCTAAGATTATTTTCATTTGATAAAAGCCAGTATAATGAAAATATATACGTGTAAGCATGTGAAATGGCTTTTGATGGGTTAATTCACAAAATCTGGGCTATTTGCAGGCAAACCTCTGAATAAATTATAAAAGTAATTATGAAACACGCCCCCTATGTGACAAAATGGGAAAAATCCAAATAAATCAGCCAAAATATGAGGAAAACAAATGTCAACAACTGCATCTCTGGTTTATCTTTGCGTATAATTTCCAAAGTGTTTTGTTGCAAACCATTCCTATCAATCCCATAATAAAAGCAAAGGGCCTGGTGAAGATGCTAACTGGAGACGGTGAAAGTAATTATCCATCATGAAACACTGTCTGAATTTATATATATATACATATATATATATATATATATCGACACATTATGACAAACATCTACGAAATTGCTGATACATCAAAATTCTTTAATTAACAGACACTGGTTATCACTAATAATCTCTAAAAACACATTTCTGTTCCTAAATGTAATATATAACAATCTTAGACTTAGACTCAACTTTATTTATAATTTATTTATTTATTATATATTACATCAGGGAGATTCTGGTTACAGTAGCTTATGAAGAGTACAGGGCAGAGTTTAAAGCAAGATGCCGTTGAAGATAAAAGTACAAAAGACAATATAAAAAGAGTATATGGTACAGATGTATATGTTTCCTTTAGATATAAAGCACAGTACTCTGCACAGTAAAGAGCAGAGTAAAGACTACACAGTAGTTGTCTGGGTTATCCGACACCAATTTAAAGATTAATCCTTGTAATAGTTGTATTATATCAATTTGTTTGGTTTGTTAACAGGACAGGTAATCATCGAAATTAGCTGAAAAGAAGCTGCTTATAACACCCACAAACTAAATAAAATATTTAAACATAGTTCTCAGTTCCATCTTATTTTGAAATAAATTCAAACAACCTTTTAAATGTACCAGAATAGGTAATAATGGCCTTAATTACAGGTGGCAACATCACGTTTTAGTGTTTTGCTGATGGCAGGAACTGGTGCACTTCACAAAATAGATGGCAACGTGAGAAAAGAACATTATGTGAAAGTACAGAGGCAATGTCTCTGGACTTCTGCCTGGAATGATTCATCCAAATGGACGATGACCCCAGGCGTACCGAAAAATTAGATGCTGAGTGTGTTAAGGATGACAAAGCTGATGTTTTGAAGTGACCATACAAAAAAGACACATTTTAATTTGGTACAAAATTTGTGAGCACAGTTGGAAGGCTTGAACTCCATTTCTCTATGGATACATATGAGAAGCAACTGATACGATAAATACTTGTCCCAAAATTGCCAAAGCTTGAAGGAAATGTTGTAAAAATAGGACAAGTCTGTAAAATCTCTGCTTTATTTTAAAATGTTATACAATTTATATTGTGGGGCGGGTGTGGTGGTCAACTCACAGCAAGAAGGTTCTGGGTTCAAGTCCCGGGAAGTTTGCATGTTCTCCCTGTGTCTGCGTGGGTTCTCTTCGGGTTCTCCGGCTTCCTCCCACCGTCCAAAACCCTGCACCTTAGGTTGATCGGGCATTCCAAACTGCCCTTAGGAGTGAATGTGAGTGTGTGTGGTTGTTGGTCCTTGTGTGTCTCTGTGTGGCCCTGCGATGGACTGGCGGACTGTCCAGGGTGTACCTTGCCTCTCGTTCATTGACCACTGGGATAGGGTCCAGTTCCCCCCTTGACCCCATTAGGGAATAAGCGGTAATGATAATGGATAGCTGGAATTTACATAGTGATAAGTGTAATTCTTAATTTGACAGCATCAACCCCAAAACAATGTTTATAACCAATGTTTCATTTCCTTTTTATCCTTGTGTGGGTATCAACATTATACCCAAACATTGTAAGAGGACATCCGTGTTAATCAACATGTTAATATTACAATATTTTAATTCGGTTAAATTTGAAAAAATGTTTTATTTATCCCAGAGGGAGATTACATGTTGATGTAACTCATTTCGCTAAGGAGTAATTATAGATTGTGATACCTGTGGGCAGGAGAGATCTTCTGTAGCGGTCGGTTTTACAACCAATCTGAATAAGCCTCTGACTGAAGAGACTCTGTTTTACATTATCATGAAGAGTATGGTCAGGATTGTCCATGATGTTCTTGATTATATGCAAAATCCTTTGCATCATCACCTCCAGAGGTTCTACGGTTGCCCCCAGAACGAAAGAAGCCCTCTCGATCATGTTATTGAGCCTTTTTAGGTCCCGGGCTCTGATGCCACCCAATCAGATGACAGCATAGAAGATAAAGCTCTCAAAAACAGACTTGTGGAAGATCTCTAACATTTTTCTGAAAACATTAAAGGATCTTAAGTTTCCTCAAGAAGTACAGTCTACTTTGTTCTTTCTTTCTATTATACGGCTTAACTGTTAAGTCAAGTCTGTAATTTAGATAAACACTGAGGTATCTATATTTTTCAACTACCCCCAGGATGGAAAGAGGGTTTGATCGAACTCTGTTTGTCCAGATATTAGAATTTAGTTGTGGCATCTCTTGAATGAGGCAGCACTGTCCCCTAGAGACACTGCAAACACAACACACCTTCAAGTCCTCATTTATTAAGATCTTGATCAATGCAAAATCAATACATTGCCAACAGTCCATTAAATATATACAAAACTGTACCAAATTGATATTTCAAAGTGTACATGAGTATTTTCAGAAAACTGAATTAGTAAGATGAAGAGTTGATTTAAATCCAACAGGCTTGTCACAGTTTTACATAATCAGGATAAAAGCACCCTCAATCCAACTTAGATTTCAACTAAACACTGTTTAAGATGTAAAATAATATGTAAGAATATCTCTATAGGCACTGTGGTTAAAGCCACAATGGAAAAACATGGGGGAAATTGGTAAACAAGGTAGACTAAAAATGAAGCCATGTTCACAGAAAACCAAAGTTCCGACAACAGTTGGGATCTGTACCACCAATGGTCTGCTTCCAGTGGTCCTAACCATATATGCCGGAGAATTCTGTGTTATATCGAAATTTCACACCGTTCCGCTTCACAGAGATTAACATGATGTAAGTGTAGCATTAATACGAATATTTCCCCCTACAGCGGATTCCTTTATGGTCTAAATAAAACGGACAGCTGTGGCACAGTAGAGGCCAAGCAAAGCCGATGATTGACATGCTCCTTCGTGGCCCAGAGGGAATACACCTCCATCTTTTTTTTTTAAATCACCGATACCAGCCCCGACTAGCTTGAAGTAGGTTCTGGAGAGCTGGCAGTAGTGGACGAAGCTGAGGTCAGTCTCTCGACGTTGTCTCCGCTTCCGATCACCCTCCACTGAAGGATGCAGGTGTCCTTACCGCCCATTGAGAGTAGGTGAGAGTCACTGTGGGTGAAGCAGACGTTGGTGACGTGGCTGCCATGGCCCTCGTATTTGTGGCTTGGTGCCTAGGAAGAACATTAAAAAAAAAAAGAGGAATGAGTCAATTTCTGACAGGAAACTGTATATCGAATTTCACATCATTCTCTACCAAGGTAGATAACATTTTGGAAGTGATTTTTATCACTTCCAAAGGTGGCTTTATAACATTTTTATTACGTTTTTAGTATTCAAACTTTGAGAAGATGGTGAATCTGGGTAGTACTCATGTATCAGTACTCATAGCATTATTTACAGTCAGTTCTCAACACTAACGACAACTGTGTTAAAATGTGAAGCTCTTCAGTGATCAATTTCAATAACATCCTGATGTGTTCAAGCATTACCTTGAGCTTTGGACAGGGGTACTGGAAGAGGTGGACCTTGCAGAAGTCATCAGCCACAGCCACAACCCTCTCACTATGAGAGCGACACAGCGCGTTAATGTCTGTGCCGTCAGAGCCCTCCAACCACACGCCTGGGAACCGAAGAATCACAGCCAGAGGTTTAACATGATATCATAACATTAAAGGGACAAGAATGTTGGAACATACAAGAAACGATGGATACACAGAGAAGGGTTTCTCACCCATGACATGGAAACCCAGCACGCAAGTATAAGAGGCCCATTCTCTGTCTCTGCTCTCAAAGCGGTTCCTCAGTAGCTTACATCCTGCTGCAATGTCCCCTGTTGAAAACATTTAGTTAGAAAAGTCAGAGATCATAGATTTATATGGTACTTAAAAATAAATCAAATAAAACAAAGTAATACAGTGTCACAGATATAATAGATTAAGTTTATTTCTACAAATTCAAGAAATGAACATAAACAAAAACAGAAATTAAACCATGTTGTGAAAGCCAAAGCTCTGCATTAAGATTTTGTTTTAGGACAGTTGGCTCCAGACTTTTTAGGCAACAAAGGCACAGTCTTGACCTAAAAGCCAGAGATTAATAGACAATAGATAAACCAGACAATACATTTTATATAAAAAACAATTGGCTGCTGGAGATAATACTATAATTGAAGGTGGAGAGTGGGAAACTATATGCATTGGATGTCATACGGGTATTAAGAGTAATATATGGAGGGAGAAGCTGTAATTGGACTTTTTGAGGTGGCTACCTGTCGCAAGGTACCTCTATAACAAAGAGGAGCACCATATTATGTTGTAATCTCATAATACTACTTATTTGTTCATTCATTTATTTTTCGTGCATTATTCCGCTTCTGGGCCTTAATGTTTTGTAGCGGTTGTTTTGTTTATGTTTTCTTTTCTTTTTTGTCACACTGTCATACATATTCTGTGATGTTGTAAAGGAATGTCCTGTATTGTGTAAAAAAAATATAGCTTAAAATAAGACAGCGTGCTAGCTCATCGGGGTTGGAAAAGTACTTTAGAAAACTGTTGTTGTCCCAAGGTTGCTGAAATTAAATATTGACCACAGCCTAACATAAAATCATAAACAGATTGTTTATGTGGACAATGTGAGGTTCAAGAGCACTAAGGTATGTTTAGTGGATGATGAATGCACCTTCAGAAGATGACCACTGAACTAATCCAACTCAGTTAATCGATTGATAAAATAAATACAATAAATCTGGAAGGCATCTTTACTTTTTTTCCAACTTTTGTACAGCTCTTGATGTTTACTTACAGTAAAGGATCTCATAGTCGCCTGAATTAGACATGATGTACTTTCCATCCTTGGACCAGTCAAGGTGAGTTATGAAACTGGAGTGTCCCTGATAGAAAAGAGATTCAGTATAAAACATTTTTTATGTTGGAATTTTTCCTTCTGTCACAAGTCCCAATTTGAGACTCACTTTGCTGGTGGTTCACCCAGTACAGAAGCAGAAAAAAAACTATTCTAGTATTTATTTCAGGGGTCTGACATCCAACTCACATTACACTTCCCGAAGCGGGTGTAGCGACGGCCATTCTCTGTCACATTGTAGATGTAGATAAAGTTGTCGTGAGATCCAACAGCCAGGAAACTTCCATCTGAAAGACAAGAAGAAATTCAAGTTTTTTTTTCACATTGCTGCATTCCCACTTTCTGCTTCTGAAGAGAACAGAACTTGCTTTGCTTCTTCCTTTTGCTTGCCGTTTTATTTTCTTTTTAATATAAATGTATAGAATTTAATATATAATATTAAATATATATAATATCATATACATTCAATTTGAATTCTTACATTTTGAATGAATTTTTTTCCCACAAGTTTAGGGTATTATTTTATTCTCTTTCTTTTAAATAACCCAATCATTTTTATTGTTTTTACCGTTTATCTAATGAACCAGCAACTCAAAAAATAGTCTACCTTTGAAAGCTGTCGGATATCTCAACAAATAACGCTTCAATCAATTTTTGTCTTATAAACCAAAAAGCGACACGCATCTCACGGAATCCAGTGGTAAGGAGTCCTACATTTACTTCCAAAGAAAAGGGTAAAAAAATAAAGACAAAATCCAGGCTTCAAACAGTTCCATTTAGTTATGGATATGAAACCTGAAAGTGTTTTATCTGGACTCTTCACTTTTAATTGAATCAAATTATTTAAATGTTTCAATGTTTTTATTTGCCTTTTGTGATTTCATGATTTAAAGGACTTAGAATTGCCTCATATATGAATTGTGCTCTACTATAAACCTGCCTTGACTTGCTTCGGATACAGTTTATTTTTTCTTCATAGTAAAATTCTGATGTTATGTACAAAAAAAACGAGAAGAAATTGTAAACGCTAGCTATAAATTCTGCAATCAATTCAAGCAATAAATGAGTACACCTTTACACATACAAATGTAGTACAAAGAATTTATATTATCAAGTGCTCCATCATTTTAGTAGGTAAAAATCCTTTCAAAATTTCATTGTCAATGATAAACCTATTTATGATTTCCACAGGCATAAAACTAGCATGATAAATGTCTGACCTGGTGAATATCTCATGACAGACAGCTGCTCATTCCCATCAGTGGATTCAGAAATCATCTCGGTGGTCACCAAGTCAAGAACCACCCACCTGTTGAAAGTTGACAGCATGATGGAGAAGTTCAAAGACAACACAGGTAAAGAGAAAAAACAGCCATATTGGTAATCCATGACAATAAAGTTGATTTCAGTTAAACCTGCACTCTCATTTTATCATTCATGTGATATGTATTTTAAACCAGACTGAATCTATACGAAAACAATGGAATAATTCTATTAGTAGATCTAAATTTGAACATATACCGTACTGAGTGAGAGCAGCTGAACATAATGAAAAAAATAAATAAAACATGTACATGAAGTTTACACTTTCTATCTTTCTATCTGGTTTTCATAATTGCAAAATGTAAATTGTTTTACGTCTACCTTTATCCAAACACATGAATAATGGCATTCAATTAAATAATTACATCATGAATAGTAGAGTACCACCGGTTTTCATTTTGAATAGAATTTTTGCAGGTTTATTACATCTTTTTTCTTGTTCGAGTACGAAGGCCAGAGAAGCAGGCCAAATGAGAGCCTGAGCCAGAGTAAATCTATCAGGTGGATAAAGACATGACTCCAAATAAGGGCTAATTCAACTATGATTATTAGATGGGCAATGGTGAGAATGAACCATTTCATAAGGTGATGCCTCAGCTGTGACCAGTTCTTACAATTTTAAGACAAGTTTAGCCTAATTACCACAAATAGGGACTATTACATTCCAGCCATCAGTTGAAGATAACATGGGTATGCTGTTTGGTTAGGACACAGAATATGAAATCATCCCAGCTGGTCACAGGGAAAACAGTGGTTCATTAAATGTGCCTGTTTTAAGTTATTCCCTAATTTTCATGTTATTTGAAAGTTTGTGTTGGGACCAACTTTTTTCTTTCTTCCTGGCTCACCAGGCAGAAAGCCATCGGAGTAAATAGCTTTTTATGAGGATATTAAGGAGGAGCAGGGATGGAATTTGATGTTTTGGTAGTAAATTCTCAGATCAAAGTGATTCTATAAGTTGAAGAAGTTGTGAAAAAAGCACAACATAATGTAAAAATAACTTCATTATTGTATTCCTCAGTATTGAATTGGTCTAATTTGGGTATAGTTGGATTATAGTTATAGATTATAGTTGGGTATAGTAGTTATATTCTGTATTGGAGAATAATAAACATCTCCTCTACAATATACTGAGAGAAGAGAGCAGATTTAGTGAGAGGCTCATCTTTCCCTCGACCCTGTAGCCCCCTAAAAAATAAAATACTTAAAGACGGTTAGCTCCATGGTATACTACTGAAACCCGCAAAATAAAACAAATATTGCGGAATCTTGAGAAAAACTGGTGTTCCACCAAGCTGGAAAATTCCCGTTTATCTTGGCAAGATAGTCTTAAAACCTATAGGAAGGCCCTGCGTGATGCCAAAGCAGCGTACTACTTTGTCTTTAATAGAGGAAAGTAGGAACAATCCCAGGTTTCTTTCAGCACTGCAGCCAGGCTGACAGAAAGACACAGCTCTATTGAGTCAAGTGTTCCCATAGCTCTCACTAGCCAAGACTTCATGAGCTTCTTTAATGATAAAATTCTAGATAGATATGGCAGCGAAACGTTAAATATATCTCTGCTGTTTTCAGAGGCTTGTGCGGCTGGCGCACAAATGATGTACCCCTTTGGAAGTCGACAAGGTCAGCTTCTTAACATTTAATAGAGAGATATACAAAAAAGTCTTTCCATTAAATGGAGAGATGTTTCGAGTCAGAACTCATTTGTACCAGATGTCTTGGTTTGTATATTTAATAGATATATATCAAGTAATGAACATCTGCAGTGCACATTTACTGTGTGTGTGTCCTCAAATACTCCCTGTGAAACAGGAATAAACTGCTTCTCAGATATCAATTCTAAAAAATCCCTAAAATTAACTAAAAGTAAGACCGACAGTGGTGAGACTGTGTTACCTTCCTGTGTTGAGACCGATTGAGATGACCGATCCGTTCGGGCAGAAGTCAGCGCACAACCCATACTCCTGCCAAAAAAACACATCAATGTCTTCAAATACTTACTTACTTTGTAAAAAAAAAAAGCATGTTTATCATATAACAAAAGTAGAGAAGATTTTGAAAATGCATTAAAACCTGAATCTAAAATGACCATTTTTAAACCTATATGTCAACAGACAGAAGTACATGGAAATTAACTGTCAGTGTCAGAAAAATCTTATATTTATTAAGAAATCTTTTTTTTTCAAATTCTATTGTAAACAGCATCATATCTTGATATTTAGCATTTTATTTGGAGCACTTGTAACACTACACATTGTGACCATTTAGAATTTGTGGGACAATCAGAAAAGGAAAAGTGAACCTGTTTACCGTGGTGATAATTATCTGTCTGAAATAAAGAACTTGATACAAGCTCTATAAAACCTGGTGGTGTTAGAGGCTCAACATGCTGCTTCCAGCTCAAATTAAGTTGTGATTTTGCCAACCTGAGGGCCTTTGAAACATGTCCTGCTCCACTGTGTCAGCACTCTTTTCTGTCTACCTATTGAAATATAAAACATTTGTGCCAGTAAAGTGTTTACGTTTTTTCATCAGGAATTTATTAAGGGCTGTATGGTTGTTTGGTGGTAAATCATAAAACATAGTGGTGCCATAAAACGAGAGGGTTTCTAGTCTTGTTCCCTGTTGGGTGCCTTTTTGTGTGGAGTTTGCACTTTATCCCGGCATGTGTGGGTTGTCTCCTGGTACTCTGACTTCCTTCCACAGTCCAACAACATGCATGCCACTTTAATTGGTGGCTCTACCGTGGATGTGGGTGTGAATGTGCATAGTTATCTGTCTCGTTACTCTATGTGTGGCCCTGTGCTGTGCTGGCGACCTGTCCAGTGTGTACCCAGCTGGGACAGGCCCCAAACCCCCATGAACTGGAATAAGAGGGTGTTTAAAATGGGTTTTTGTTTGTCTTTTAACTGTTTCTGATGATGTGATGGATAAAATAAATATATTAAGCTCAATAAAGCAAGGATAAATTGTTGGACAATTTGTACTGAACCCTACAACCTTGATTTTGAGTGTTTAGAAACGGACCATTAATGAAGGAGCGACTCAATCTTTCAGGAAAAATTAAGTAAAATATACATCAAATTCTAATTTCATTTAGACGTTCTAAATAGTCATTTTTATTTTGTAATAGATAAAAATTCTAATGATTTAAGAAACCATGTTAAAAAAGCTACTTGTTATTTGTTGCACAAAAGAAAACTTTTACCAACTTAGTTTCCACAACAGAAAACTATTGTGGAAACTACAGTATGTCAGCAAATCAAGTTTTTCACCCATTCAGATGTATTATTTCACCTCTTCAGGCTGTTGTGATGTGCATCAACATTTTCCAGAATAAAAATTTTTTTTTTTCAATTTCAAAAGGTGGTTATGTGGTTATTGTTTTTATTCAAAGGCCCAGAATTTTTTTTTTTTTAGACAGCTTTAACTTCCCAAATAAGTCGGGTTTTAGAATGCTATATTTGGAATAAATCTATACATCTGGATAGGATCAATCATGAAAGCTAGAGTCTAGGGGCAGGGGTCCGTACCTCCAAGATGATACACCAGCCCAGCTTGTGTTCCTCCGTGTTCCACAAACACACCTGCCTGTCATGACCACAGCTGAGGAAAATATTTTTCGAGGGGTGAGTTGCTAGGCCCCACATCTCATCAACATGCCCCTAAGATACACACAAAAAACACATATGCATAAGCATGTGCACACACAAGGTATCATAAGAATAAAACTGCTATGCAATGTCTATCTAAAGCTCAGACAAATACTAAAACAAATTTGAGGCATCAATAAAATGGTCAAAGCAAAGCAAAGAAAAATGTTAAGGTTCTTACAAGATCTGATAAAATTATCTATACTCATTTGATTTAGATCTTAACTTAAAGTTGTAGTACCACTATAACATGTGTGAAATGCAGCGGTTTTCATTTGAACTCTGGGTGAGAAGAGATCCTCTAATTGGGAAGTTTATTTTTGAAGTTGTTAGATTTATTTTTAGATGTTCAAAAAAAAAAGATGCTGTGAAAAGCAACAAAATTGCCAAGATGGGAACACTGGCTGTGACAGTTTCCTCTTTCTTTAAGCCGTGACATTAAGAGTTGTGAATTGCTGTTTTCTACTATGCAAGAGAATGGAGGTAGGGGGGGAGACTGTGTGAAACAAGAATGAACTGCATAAGTCTGACACTCAGTGAATCCATCTTTAGAGCCTGAACTTTGAAAAAAGCTCAAGAAAAATATATCTTTGAATTAACCACAATCAGTAATGTATTTTCACATGTAAAAACACTTTATTGCAAAAAAAGGAAAAGAATGACATTTTGAAAAATAAACATCATGCTTTGTTTCAGCATTGCATACCTCATTCCAGATATGGTTTAAAATTAAGTAAGCAAGTCAATTAAAAAAAATGTAAACACACACATATATATATATATATATATATATATATATGCTATAAGTTAGTTTGTTGGTTGAACAGGATGTTACAACACTTAGAATATAATAGGATACTACAATTTCACAGAAAGCACATAAAAGTAAAAAGCTGTAGCTGAATTAAATACTTTTTAAAAGATGAAAGGGGTTAAATCATTTGCGTACCTGCACGATGGGCACAAACCCATCTGAGAAGGTTCCCCTGAGAATAGCATTTCGGGTTGTGCCAACCAAAAGCTCTTCGTCATCCAAATTTGCAATGGTGCGGACAGCCCCAAACTTCTCTGGAATCTAAAGACAAACAATGCCATCAATCAAACTATTTCTTTCTCAAGTCATTTAAATGAAGGTAGCCAGATGTGCATCACAGACACATACAGTTGTGGTTCACCTCACACTCTTTCTCAGGAGCCAGGTCCGCGCTCCAGCGGATGATCTTGCGATCCTTTCCTCCTCCGCTCAGCAGAGCGCCACCAGGCAAGGTGCACAGTGTGAAGACGCTACCTTCATGTGCTTTGGTGACTTGCATGATCTGGTAGGTTTCTGTAAAAATGACAACATGAGCACATTTCTATCTATTTAAACAGAGGGAAAGATAAATTAAAAGCAAAAGCAGGGCACTAAAATTTATACTTGCCGGTAACTTTCAACATGCAATATAAGCAGTTCATTTCTTACAGCAAAACAGGGAAACAGCACTGACCTTTGGCTCCTTTACCGAGAGTTTTGACATCTGCAGCTGACTTTCCCCATGTGAGAATGTTCCCCTCTGAGTCTCCTGTTAGAACATCTCCAGTCAGGCTGAACACAAAGCACTGGATGAACTTTGGCTTCTTGTATTTCTGAAAACAAGAAATAACCATATGATGGTAATGAGAGTCATTATTAGTCCAGGTTTTACATGTTCCAATTTTAAATGACAATTTCAAATAAATTCAGTTTTGTATGGGTGCATCAATCTGTGTCTTTTGAAAGATGTGCTCTCTGTTTTTGATTATGCTTCGTTTTTCACCTTTTGGCCTCTTCAAGCATCAGAATGTAATTTAAAGCACTTACTCATATTGGTACAACAAGACAGTTAAACAACTGAAACTAAAACGTACAGAAAATGAATACAAGAATAAAGTGTGAATACATTTACTTTGTCTTACCCCAAAGATTCCTTGTTTCTTGGTAAACTGTCCTGCAGTGAGTGTCCAGAAGTAGACATGGGATTTCCCACAGGTAATGATGCTGTTGCTATCTTTAGGGTTAAATTCCACAGCAAGCACAGCCTCATTGGTACTCTACAAAACAGGGTAAGCATAACCACAGCATAAATATCTTTTTAGGACTGTCAAGTTCTTGTTGAGGATATCAAGCACCATCTTAATATTCCAAAAAACAATCCTGAAATCAAAAGACTTTTAAAGACTAATGGGTTCGGTCTGATATAAGGTAGGAGAATGAAATAATGTGAAAAGAATCATTACAAAAGAACTCTTATCTGTGCAAGCAAAACAAGAAGCAAACTGACTTGATAGTAATCTGAAACTAGGAAATCTTTTTTTTTTTCTGAATTCTCTCCAGATATTGCCTTTCAAGACAGCCTAACATTTTTCTAAAAAATACTTTTGAAGATGTGAATGGTTCTGGTATTTCAGATTTTAAAATAATGTAATCCAAAACCAGTCAGAAACAATACAGTTTTTTAACACAGGGGGGCAGACACAACAATAAAAAACATCCAACATGGCATCCTATTGTTTATTTTCAGTTGTCATTATATAAAGCATTGCATGTGTTTGTCTCTATAACATTATGAGCAACACCAAAAGCAACATTACTAATGTCCCTAAAAATACAAACAATACTGATAAAGAATGCAGTTATCAAATCACTAGAAGATAGAGAATAAGAATAGATGTGGATTATAAATTATAATGACTAAACCACTTAAATACATTCTTTACCTTAACCTCTGCATACTTTGTTTCCTTTGTGCAGTCCCATACTGACAACATGTGCTCATTGGAGTCATCAATAACACACAGAAACAGTCCAGAGTCCTGAAAACATCATATCATAAAGAAATTAAATCAGTGGCAGGGTTTACTGGATATTTAAAGGCTGGAAGGAAAAAAAAAAAGATCATCCTTCCATTACTTATGCCAAACACACCAGGGTGTGTAGATGAAATGCTTGTAGTATTTCTACCAAAGATTTTTAAAATGGCTGAATTGAAGGGCTTTGCATTGTTAAAAATGTTGTGCAGACGTCAGTAAAGGTTAACATTTATATTCATATTAGGTTATATTGTGTTATATACTCATCTTTACTCGTTATAGGAGTGTTAAAAAAATTTTAAGATAAGAAAATAGCAGCAGTGGATGAAAGCATCTGAAAATGATACTTCTCCACATTTGATACCTTTTCAATTTTCAGCATAACACTTTTTAGAGTTTAATTGCACAAATTCAGTAACAGCTAAATTGTTTTCAACATGGGGCAGAAAAAAATTAGAAGTGTAAATTTTGCGTCTGAAATATCCCAGCTGTTTCTCTAAAGAACATCTCGATAATCACCTCTTAAAGACATTCTACCTTTGCAATTGTTTTGGGATAAGATTGCAATGTACTAACAAACACAGAGTAATGTGCCAAAAAACGACATAACAGATTAGAAAGGCTGAGATCTTGAATCAAATTAAATTGATCTTGAATGAGAGACTCACTAGCCTCGAAGTTCTTTCAGACACATAACGGAAATAAAAAAGTCTTGAATCTGAAACTTAAGTTTGATATCTTTCTTTAATGAACTTAAAAAATGTTCAAACAAAAGCTGAATTCTTTACTTTTTATCTGAATAAATGTCTATGTGCCGGTCAAATGACCCCACCAAACCAGCAGCCAATCAAAATGCACCACGGTATCTATATAAACTTCTACATAACAAAATAAATTCCTATTTTACTAAAAATGCATACAATAATTCTTACATTCTTAAATTAATTCAAATTCTGCAAAACATTGAAAATGTCTCTAACACAGACAAACACCAGAAACAAGAGTTCTGACAGTTTTGGTTCAGTAAATAGTTCAATTATCTGAGATTATTTTAAATCAAACCAAATGTACCATTTGACCAGGTCAGATTTCGGTCGAAAAATGTCAATGGAAAGGTACCAAGGAGGTAACTGACACATAAGACCAACATTTTGAGCTACGAATTGACTATAGGTAGTATTACATTTGCAAAAACAGGTTTAAAAAATAAAGTGGTACATTTCAATCAACTCACAGCAACGGAAAATGCCACTGATCCCACTCCCCTCTGGAAGGTTCCAAGGCCAATCTGCTGTAACGTGACCAAGGTGTTGGAGTCCCAGATGTGAACACATGGTTGCAGAGACTCGAAGATAAATTGTAGAAAAAAAACAAATTACATTTGAGGACAAATACTCAACTAATGTTTATATTCCATCTTAAAAGTGATGTGTGGAACAATTACAGTGGACAATAGAGACTGCATATCGAAATATGGATTAGCAGCTAGCAAAATGTTTGCCTTGATTGAAATTAAGATGTATTTTAAATAGTAAATATATGCTGGGTATGCTTTAAATGTTATACCTACAAAGCTACTGTGGTAGATTTAAAAAAAGGGGGGAAATTAGTTGAGTAGCAATAGTCACCTTGCCATCCTTATCAACGCCTGCTGTCTGACCAGATGCCACCCGAACTTTATCAGGATGAAGTGTGAGACTGTGAAACGCAGATTAAGATTTTAGTTTTTTTTAGAGCATTAATATTCAGGTTAAGTGAACATCAAAGGAGTTATAGCAATTATACAAAGCAATTTTTATCTTTACACATCTGAAAACATCCATCCACTTTTTAAAAAAATGTTCTAATTGTTGCATATTCTGATTCAGGGTTGAGGTGTAAACTGTATCCCAGCTGTCCTTGGGCAAGAGGTGTTGTGAACCCCCGCACAAGGTAACATCGAAACACAACACACAAATAACAATCACTCCTACTGTCATTTTTTAGCAGGTCCTTGAATGCCACTGTCCTGCATGTTTTACATTTTTGAGGTTTTAGAATACCAAAGTTCGACATCTCTGATTTAGAGTGACTAATTAATCTAACATGTATGTCTTTGAATGGTGGAAGTAAGCATGCAACAAAGCTTTCTTCTTTATGCAATCATATTTCAATGAATACCTACCAACGACTGTGAACATCAATAGTACTTTTAATATGTACTCTGATAAAGTCTACTAACAGATCAGTTAAATAAAAATTCATTTTACAAATGGATAAATGAACCATTTAAAGGTTTCCATACCTTCTAAATACACTTATAACCTTCACAAGCTGAAATCATCACTGCATAAAAACAGATTCCTGTAAATATTCCTATCCATTAGCCTTAATAAGGCAAATGCAATTCATTTATAACTTTTTTACCCAACTTGTATATCCTGTTTGAAAATGTAAGTGTAATATCCATGAACCCTTTGTTTCCAAAATGAGAACAGAAACAATCTTTACCTTTAATTAAATAAAGAGAAAACTGAGATTATATAACATTATTTAGGGCTTAAGAAGTGTTCCAAGGTGTTAACAGTGGCTAAGTACACACATTATGAATTTTCTTTCAGTAAGATTTCATCAAATTATCAGATGCCTTTATTTCACTTTGCTTACCAGCGGACACAGTCTGTGTGCTTGGTATAGTGACGCTGTGTGCGATTGTTGATATGATAGAGCACGATAACACAGGCGATGAAGTACACCGCCTCGCCAGTGGGAAGGAAGTACAAATTTGCACGGCAGTCCCGTCCCCGGTAGCCATAGCTAGTAAAACAGGGTCAAGGTCAATCGAAAAAAAGAACAATTTCTGACAAATAAAGCGTGTTTGAAAGGTTGAAAGGTTAGAAGTGACCTTTTAAATGTGTTGCACCTAGGGTGCTCATTCTTAAATATTGGTATCACTGACTCCACCTTTGACACAGCCTCGTTCAGCATTCATGTTTATGTTTATGCATTTAGCAGACGCTTTTATCCAAAGCGACTTACAAAGTAGACACAACTTTACAGTTATAATCAATATGACAATAAGTTCTCTAGAGGAAAATTCATAGTCAGAATCATAGGTGACAGCAAAGAGAGAGAGTGGGAAGTGCAGAAAGAGTAGTAGAGGGGTACAGAGGTATGGGTAAAAGTCAGGATAAGAGATGCTCTTCGAAGAGGTGGGTCTTTAAGAGTTTCCTAAAGATAGACAGGGACGCTGCTGTTCTTGTAGCGCCTGGTAAGTCATTCTACCATCTTGGAACAACAAATGAGTACAGTCGGGATTGTCTTAAGCGTGCTGTAGGCGCTGCTAGACGACAATCCTTTGATGACCGGAGTGACCGAGTTGTAACAACAAGGCTTTGCAGAAGGATTCAAGAAGATGGGAGCCGTACCCTTGAGCACTTTATAGGCTAGCACCAGGGACTTTAATTTGATGGGGGTTACCAGTGAAGCTCAGTGAAAAGAAGGGTGACGTAAGACTTTTTGGGCTGATTGGAGACAAGACGCACCACTGCGTTCTGGATCATTTGTAACGGTTTTACCGTACAGGCTGGGAGACCAGTCAGGAATGCATTACAATAGTCATGGCGAGATAACCATAGACTGCACCAGGAGCTAGGTAGCACGTTGGGTTAGGTATGGCTGGATCTCTCTAATGTTTAGTAGTATGAAGCGACAAGATCAAGAAACGGAGGTTACATGATCTTTAAAGGTCAGCTGGTCATCAATCATGACACCCAAGTTTCTGTCTACCACGATGGAGTCAGAGACAGGGATCCAGTATGGATGTGAATATTGTCTTTTATGGTTGGTTTGGCTGGAAAAACAAGCAGTTCAGTCTTTGAGAGATTCAGTTGGAGGTGATGGGTTTTCATCCATTTTGATATGTCAGAGAGACAGTCTGAGATGCGTGCTCAGACCGTGTGGTCATCATGCTATCGACACCCAGCTCTAGCTGTCATTTCCACCTAAAAGTGGCATGAGAAACCATATGATTGAATGATCTGGCCGAGCGTGGTGGTGTATATGACAAAGAGAAGAGGTCCCAGTACTGAACCTTGAGGAACCCCTGTGGTGAGGTGGTGCACTGCAGAAGTTTGACCAAGCCAGGATACTTTGAATGATCGACCGGTGAGTTACGATTCAAACCAGGAGTGTGCTCTCCCTGTGATGCCCATGCTCGAGAGTCTGGACAGAAGGATGTCATGGTTTATTGTGTCAAATGCAGCTGACAATTCAAGCAGGATAAGTACTGAGGACTTCCCTGTTGCTCTCGCCTCTTTTAAGGCTTCTGTCACAGACAACAAAGCCGTTTCAGTGGAGTGGCCATTTTTTTACCCCGGATTGGTTTGCATCAAGGAGATTGTTTTGTGAGGGGTATTCTGTGACCTGCTTAGACAGAAACAGTAGTAGAGACACCGGGCGATAATTTTCCACCTGAGCCGGTGGGACAGAGGGTTTCTGGAGCAGCGGTGTAACCAGAGCTAGCTTGTATGTGTTAGGAAATATGCCTGTGTGTCAGTGAGGCATTGATCACGTGTGTGACTACTGCAGTTACCGTGGGAGCTATGGACTGGAATAGATTTTTAGGAACAGGTTCCAGCAGGCATGTAGTAGGAAGGCTACATGTGAGGAGTTTAGACACATTGCTCTCAGTGAGAGGGGTAAATGAAGAGAATGAAGCCATATGACTTCTGCTAGAATCTGTGTCGGGAGTTCAAAAAACTGTTTGCTAATAGCTGCCACTTTGTTGGAAAAGAATGAGGCAAAAGTGTCAGCCGTTAAACTGGTAGCAGGTGGCAGAGGAGGAGGGTTGATTAGGGTTTTGAAGATGGAGAATAGTTTTCGAGTGTCCGTTGTACAGTCAATTTTATCAGTATAGAAAGCCCTTTTTGCATCAGTGACGTTTAAAGAAAATGCAATGATATTTTGTCAGATCTTCTGGATTTTTTAAATTGTTGCCATTTCCCATCTGCAGCCCTGAGGTTGGTGTGCAGTGATTTGACTGTGTCATTAAGCCATGGGTGGGACTGAGACGCTCGGGCAGGTTTAGTGGATAGAGGAAACAGACTACCCAAGCAGGAGCTCAATGTGGAGCAAAGGGACTCCGTGGCCTCATTAACCTCAAGTGAGGAAAATGTGCTGGAGTTTGAAAGAGCGGATGCAACATCGGAGGAGAAGCGGATAGGTGAAAGTTTGCGGAGGTTTCTGTGGAAGGAAACCATCGAGGTGTGAGCTGCGGGGGTTTTGGGAGGCTTGCACTAAATTGAATGAAATAGTGATCAGAAAAATGCAGAGGTGTGACAGAAAGGGCCTCTATTGCACATTTCCTACAACTGGTCAGGACTGCTGACCAGTTGTAGGTCAAAAGAGGTAATTAATCTTAAGAAATCAGAGGAGTCAAGGTGGTGCATTTCTTTTCAACGCACAATATTTAACTTCCATCCTTGAAATAATTAAATGGCAAGACAGCTCATGTCTGAATGTAACACAACTCTCATAAATATTAACATATGACTTGAAAATGACTGTAATAATCTGAAAGGATACACCCAGTCAAGCTCTAGTCTCTCAGAAGGAGGCTCCATTTTCAGATCTTCATAGTTCTGGATGTTAGAGGGTATGTACATGGTTATGGGTCGCCCACGGATGAACATTTTGATCGACTGCCCTGAAAAACAAATACAAAACTAATTCAGATCCAAACAAACTGAAATGTGGACAAACAGATACTGCACCATCCATCCAAAGAAGGGATGGCTATAATTGTGTGTGTTAATGCAAAACAAGTTACCATCTTGTAATTCCTATTTTTTTGTCCTTTTACAATAAGCATTTCCACAAACCACATTTTTCCATGTTGACTCACACAGTGGAAAGAAAAACAGGTAATTTACTTGTCCCCTTTTCCACATAAACCAATAATCACTGCTACGGGATTTCATGTTTTTAAACATAATTAAATGAATGCATATCATAAATATTTCAATACTTTCATAAAGTTCATTCAAACTGGTTAACTGACCAATAACAATGACATTACAATATAAAGAAAGTATAAATACTCTGTTGACACAAACAGATTTAAAGGGGGTGGTCTACCTTGGCTATAAGTTCCTCTTCTCGAGCCAGGAGATCCTGCATGCATATACAAGCAAAAAGTTCAGGATACACATAAACACACATTAATCCTTTGGACTTTAAATTGCAGCTAGTTCAAATAAAAGTTTTACTGACGATTCTGATTCGGTTACTTTAACGTTAATGATTTAGATGCTACTACACTTCAAATAAACCAACGTCATATCAATAGGCGTACACACATTATGAACAAATTTCCCCCAAAAATCTCTGAATGTGATCTGACTGGATTGCCCAGAATGTGTCTTTGGCTCTCTCTATAATAAATGGTGGAACGTTGTAAAACTCCTCAAAACAACACTTTGTCTAATTGTTCCTGTTAAGGAAATAGTACATTGTGACAGCCTGGATTGTGTTTCTTTGCACGTATTTTTTATTTACCTAGTAATTCTTTTACATTACGATCAAGATAATGATAGTTAATGAGGTTCAACTTAAGTATGCACTATGTCATTTAGGACCTTAATTGACTGTGAGAGCAAAGCACAGCCCACAAACTGTTTTTGGGTTGCAGTTTAGCATGATGTGCATTTAAAATCACAAACGGTTCTTGGCTACCGGTATGTCAGAATTCTAAAATTAGTTTTGGAATGTCAACAGTTCCATTTCTATTCTCTCAGTGTCAAATGATCATTTGACAAGAATTTGAACATGGCAGAAAACACATTAAAAAAGCTCTAACCAGGCACTCGTAGGTCTTCTTGTCACTCACTATGAAGTAGGGTTTGATCTTATTTTAAAAGGGGAATTTGAAAAACATTGCCTGCAGAGCTGGCCATTCATCATTCTCTTAAGTGAATGGAGAGGAGCGGCAGCGGCTAACCACAGTGAATGCAGATCTAGGCAGCGCCCACGGGGAACACAGGACTTGGACTGTCAGACTTCCCAGGAACTCACTTGTAAAGAGTAAGGAGGGTGCTACACCATTAAGGTCCCCAAATGACATGTAGCAGATTTTAACCAAGGGTAAAGCTGTGATAGAACAATTTAACTGCTGGGGTTATCTTGGTAGGACTGCTTAAAGAAGTCAGCAGTTACACAACACTGTATTTAAACAAAATAATGCAATACAGAAACCTAAGGAATTTTTCATTCTAATAAACCATACTAAAATAATCTTACAATGTTGTCACAATGTCTAAAAATGGTAGTTTTTACTTCATTATATTAATGAAATGTGGAGGTTTATAGCATGATGTTAGAAACTCTGAGGTAAATACATCTCTGTGACCAACAGTACTCTGACCGGAACAGATTTAGGATTATCAGTTGAATAACAATCCAATTTACTGGGTGTTAAATGAGATACATGAAACACCTGTTATTCTAAAATCAGGCTGATGTTTAGAAGCGAAAAGACAAACTAATATTATTCATTGTATACCCAATGACCAGTCCTAATGTGCAAAAAACACTAAGCAAATTCTTTATGAAAACATATTCAACTTAATGCCAAAATAATCATGTAATCATGACATATGGCATACTACACTTTTACTAACCAAGCCATAACCTGATTCTCCTTCTGTTCCAGCCTTTAATTGAAGGATATGTGGACAGTAACAATGACAGTGTGTGGGTGTGACATTTAGCAAGAGTGAGCACGTCAAACTGGTGACTCCTCTGTACTCCCTGTTTCCTGTGCTGACACGCAGCACTTTCCTGCTAAATTGTGTCAAGGCGTGTTGGTGCAGATCCGTTTGAAGTTTTCCTTTAGTACTTAACCACAGTGAAGACAATGGAAAAATGCTTGTTGTTTCCCTGATTAATTGCCTTGTGCTTTGACTGTGAATAACCGCCTGTTTTTCTTTTACTTTTAGAGAACTTGCCAGCAGGAGGTATAACCAGGACTGAAAAGGACATTTTAAAAACAGTAAATGGAAATGCTTTCTCTCTGCTATACTATAATAACGCAAGTTCTGGAAAGCGAGCTGAAAATAGATCTAATAAACCTTAAACTATTCTTTGATCACATTTCTTTTTGCAAAAGAAAAATCACTTGGACGATATATCACTTTAGAAATAGACTCCATTGTGCAAAACCTCCACATCTAACCAAGAATCTCATGTGGTTATAGCAATTTCTTGGACTGGTATTGAGAATAATTTGCTGTGAAAGAAAAGAATGACAAATATTATTGAGACCACAAATCACTTCTTGCTTGCTATAGTTCTTTTTTTTTTGGTGAATCAAGTCTCTTAGTAAATGATAATAGTAGTTTTTAAATCACACTTCTTGTCTTGGTGAACACCCAAAGCCACATTCACTCATTGAAACAGTAGCACAGGGCTAAAAATGTTTGCAGGAGCAAGTTTTACAAGGTGAAGAGATTTAAATAGCTACACGTTTAATATTGTATTCTTAATAGTAAATTAATGTTAAAACTTGAGTGTCATATAACATCCTCTGTATAAGGAATTAAAGTTGTTTTGGGGATAATCATAGCCAGACAAAGTGATAATACCCATAAAAGCTACACTCACCACACTCACAATTATGGTTAGAAGGGAAATCTGCTCATTTTTGTACGAATGATAGATAACATATGTGAACTGGTGAGAGGCTGCCTGGGAACTACTGCAGAGCTTTAGTTCAACTCAGGCCTTGAAAACAGAAAATGGAAACAACTTCAAATGGATATAATTACCTATGGGTTTTGTTTTATATCCCAAACTGTATTTTAAACAGAAAGGGGTAAAAAGTCATCTGTCAATCAAAGCGCCTTGTTTTTGTTTCGATTCCACTCTTAATGTGGGCTTGGCATGCAGTTATAGACACTTAGTAATTGGCAGAGCGATGAGAAAATAGAATCATAAACCATTTTAGGATAATTGGTACGAAATATCACTAAAAGGATTTTAAGAATTCCAAACTGAAGTCTGTGCTAACATGGGAATATAGGTACAGTAACTTTACTCTATCTGGGTTGTTCACATTTTCATGACAAGACTGGATACAGCAAAAAACTCGGATTTGGGTTACTTCAGGCTGAAGTGTGAATGTAGTCCTAAATACAATATACTGGCATATATCCGATCTTTTTAAATGTGTAACTCAGAAATATGTTTTGCAGGGTTTTTCATTGCTTTGTTTGGGTTAAACAAAAAAAGATGAATTTAAAAAATCACTTAAAAATCAACGGCCTCCACATTATGAGACTAGATAAATTGTTATTTTACTACAACAACTATTGGGTCAATCCAGATAGTTGAGTTATCATTTTCTATAGAAGTTGGTGGTGACAAAACAGATTAATTGCAAACTCCTGCTCCATATTAGAAAAGATTCATGAACTTACCGGCACTGGCAATCAGCTCCTTAGCCCTGCTGTGGGGACAGAATACAACCATGTGAGACAGTTACAAGAAACCACATCATACATCACACCCTGACAATACACAAATGTGGTGTAAACTGGTTTTTGAGTTGTTTAAAAAAAGTATCTTATTACAGTCCACTGGGGCAATCAGTATCCCAGCAACCGTCTTGGCCCGGCAGCCAAAGGGAGAAACTATCCTTGTGACAGTGTGGAGACAGTCGTGAGCGTTGGAGGTGTAACTTACTTCTCCAGGCTTGGGGAGCGGTTGAGGAGGTTGGCGGAAGATGCTGCTTTCTTGTCCAGTCGTTTCCTCTGCCTATCCGGGTTACACAGTTTTTCACTGTTTCTACGAACCCTGGAGCACCAAAAAAAGCGTTACCTCTATTACCGAGACACTTCAAATCAATCCCACACCCACGAGAGGAATTATCCCAGTCCCGACGCATGCAGAAATCATGTTCCCAGTATGATTACAGCCAAGCAAAAAGAGAAACAAGAGGGTTTTTATTAAAGTGCAGATTTTTTTTTCTCAGATTTTACATCAATTTCTACTAACAAATCTTGTATTTAAATTAATTAAATCTCAACATCTAAAAAAGGCGGCTGTGACAAATAGTTAACTATTTGTCTTGCATAGCGGTGATCTAAAGAGTGATGGCGTAGATTGGTCCATGCTTTTTACTATCCAATGCAGTGGATGAAATTCATAGAAAGAATGTGTCACATATAGTTGAACTGGTGTCAAGCACCAGTTCAACTATTTTCCGGAGAATTTAAAGGATCTCTAACTGGGGGCACTTGCTAATTGTTGTCTAACCTAATCCAGTTGGATTTGATAATATTTAACATTTATATGTTCTTTTTTTATCTGCTGATACGACACTTACAAGCCTCCATATATTAACTTCTGAATATTTTCCAGCTGTGTGACTATAGCTAATGATTTAGCATTTTCAAAAAACATTCCAATTGAAGGGATGACATTTCATCCTTTTTTTTCTCTTCTTTTTAAAAAAAATGAAGAATGAATATCTGGTCAAGATGCCGACTCAGCTTGCTATTCACTTTTTAAGTTGTTTCTACCAAAATTATTAGAAGAGGATGACGTGGGAAAAACTACAATGACAGCTCAGGCAGAATATATTTAGTGGTCTTCATGCTTAATTGAAGTTGTTGTGATGTTTAATACAAATCTGAATGTTTACCGATCCGTAAGTTTCATCTATAAAAAGCAAACGCATGCAGTCACCATGATTATATCTAACGGTTTCTTATTTTCTTGCAACACCCCATTTCCTGAAGATATGTGAGTGAACAAGAAGCACCACCAGAAACAGTTAAGCTAATACTCGGAAATATAGGAAGTGAAACTCACACGTAAATTCCTTTTCCAAATTTACTGTCACTCCCAGCCAATATTCTGCTATACTTTTTGGGGGTTTTGGATAAAGTCATACCTAATAAAAACTTTCATAGACAACAGATCTGCTTGGTTTCTCTCTGCTGTCATTACATGTCTCAAGAGGAACCAGACTGCCAAGTGGGAAATACCTCTTCTAAAACAGTAAAACTGGCAACTATAAATCAATATGTGTGTTAAAATAACCTGAATCCAAAAGGGTATACTATTTTCTTTCTTTTTTCTATATCTGTAGCTCAAAATAAGAAAATGATATCGAAATCAGAGTACTATAAGGTTCATTGTAAGTTTGCAATTTTAAGGAATTGGAATGAAAGTTTGAGGTGTTTCTAAGAAACTGTATTATACTTTATCTATTTTTAGTACAAATGTCTATTAATGATTTTATCACTAATCCATTTTTCCTTACACAAGGGAAGTGTTCCTTCAGTATGTATATATAATGATACACATAATGACAATGATATTTCTTTCTAGTTTTCTGTATCACGTTGGTGAAAGTGTTAGCAAAAAGATGCTATCACTTAGATCATCTTGAAGGTGTTTGGTTTTGAATAGAGGTTTAGATTAGTTTATTTTTTTAACATTTTAGTGCAGCATTCTTGGATTTCTTAAAAAATTTTTCTTTATTTTTCCAGCTGCAATGAGTAAATGGGATTTGGAACAAAAGTCTTAAACACTAAGCTATTTTCTATCAGCTTTCTCCAGCCCCATGTGCATCTATTTTCTACAGTGTTAGGATTCCACATCTGCTTTTTGAAGCCCAATGTTCAGAGATTTATATGATAATCATCCTGAAATCGATTAGATCATTGTCATAGTTCTCCCTAAAAAAATTTCTACAACTGTGTTCATTTGCAGCTTCCTTAATTAAATCAGATTATTATATGTTGAGTTGAAGCAGAATTTAGAAAGAGGCATAGCTCAGGTTTACATAGAGGTTAACTGTACACACGAAAGCATGTGTTATTCCCCACAGGTGAGATTCTCATCATGCATGTGCGATATCTTATTCCAGTAGAAAGCAGCAGGGTCTCCAGCACTATGCCCAGTTCTGGGGACTAAAAAGGAATTTGTTTGAAAGGGTTCTTGGAAAAGGACAAACCACTTCATGCAAGAGATTGATTTCTTTGAGAACAGCAGTTTTGGAGGGATCAAAAGATTGAAGCGGAATTGCGTTTGACAATTGACTACGTATTTCTGCAAAACCCAGCTGAAAGGCAGATATTGGCACTGTGTTACCAGTACACATATTTAAGAAGGACGTTGTACATTATCTGAAAGAACTTTTTTGGGGTTAATCTTCATTAATATTATTTCCAGTGTGGTCTATCATATTGCTCACATCACATTTCCCGCCCAATTCAAATCCTTGTGTGTTGTCAAGTTATAGAAATGTCATTCAATCTGAATGAGTGCTACATTTATGTTCCACAAAGACTATTTGTTTTTCCAGCCCTTCATTGAAACACATAGAAAAGAAAGCTCTTGGAGTCAGGTGTGAGCATAACAAAAGAACTTCCTCCCCTTTTAGTTTCGTGCTCTAATATGACACAATTACACCCCATGAACCAGAATCTGATCATTTCATGAACATGTAGCACAGCTGGGCTTTGCAGAGTTCCAATCAGATAAGTAGCATTACCAGGGATTAATTGCTAAAATCCATGCAATCAGTCATGAGATCATTGGGGTTAAACAGAAGCGCAGCACCGAGGCACGATCACCCACAGTGTCTTCTCTCCTTCCTGGATGGGAGACAGAGGCCCAGAACGGGAGCTAGCATTTTGCTCTGAGCTTTTGACCAACACGGACGCAGTGCTTTGCTCATCTGAAGAGCAGCCCCCATCCTGGAAGTCCTCTCTCTGAAGCGATCTGATGGTGGTTGGCTGAATAGGCTCCTCGACTGAAGATGTCCAAGTTAGTTCCATTTCATGTTCCCCAACTCCTTCATCATCGTCCTGGTCCTCCTCCTCCTCCTCCTCCTCCTCCATGCCAGGGATGCGTTGGAGTTTGACTCTGGTCCCGTCAAGTACAGGCTCCCCTGGGGGGAGGGCATCCTCAAGCTGCAGGCTCTGGGCTCGTCTTGAGAAAGGGACCTTAGTCTGCCCAGCATCGTGCGTCTCAGTCTGTGTCGACTTGTCTTGTGTTGGTCTTGTTTGACTGGACATTAGGCCTCCTATGTGGCCGTTAGTACTGTTCACAACGCTGTCTGACAGTTGACTGGAGACAATTCAAAGGTTTAGAACAACATGGAGCAGTCAAAAAAGAAAGATTACAGAAACACAGACTAACGTCCCTCAGTTGTATACTGAACATAAAACAAAAACAACAATGGTCCCAGAACATCCATCTTCACCTTGGATCTTAACTATCCATTTTAGAGGGATAATGACAGAGAGAACCTAGAGAATGCGTTTTATCAACAAATGGTTTGTGATTCATTATATGCTGTGGTTATATGTTATTTGTTGTGGCTTAAGAGAAATATATCTTCTTTCATTCTTAAATCTTGAATTCGGAATTTGTAATGAAAAATCTTCTGATTCTGCAATGGGTGTTTGTACACACTGGAAGCAAATCAAGAAATCATGAAGTTCAGAGTTTCACTTCCCCCAATGCAGTTTGAAGGCATTCCCCTAAAAAATGTGAAATTGTCAGCTGAGTGGTTCAAACCAATCAGTCAAGCTGATCCTAAACAAATTCTATGGGTTTTGTCATTGGTTGACAGAGGAGGTCGCGGGATATGACTGACCACACGCCATCCAAGCAAGAAAGAGTTACAACTGTATTCCAAATCAGAACCTCTGACTGAATTTCCTCTGTCCTTCATGTTGCGGCCACACATGAAGACACTGAGCTTTCCTCCATAGAACAAAGAATATATATGTTGTGATCGTTATCAATGCCATCATCAATTAGTTTGGAGAAAACATCTTGTAGTAAGTCTTAAATTTAAAAAAATGCAAACCAGATCATAAACTACTGAGGACCCAACACCAACTTTTCTAATCCTGCACTCTTTGGATATTTAAAAAATTCTGACCATGGGAAAATGCTTCATAAATCATTTCTGATTTTTGAAGAAAATGTGCCTGTGTGATATTGCCAATGTTACGCTTCTGCATTGTTAAAAGTTGGTGTTTCAGCCCAGCTTAACCACTTTAGCTCAGCAATGAAGACATTTGTTTTAGTTTTACTTTTTAGAGGTTGTTGCACTAAAAAGATATCCAGATGACATGACCAATGAACATGGACAAGAAATCCTATTCCATGCTGTGATGCGAGGTATTGATTTAGAGTTAAATCACCTGGTAGGAGTTGCAGGCTGGCGACTCCCATCAACGGCCGAGTTGGCGGATAGTTTCCCGCTGCTGGTGAAACCATCCGAGCAACACACCTGGTTCAGCACGCGAGCAGCACATGGGTTCACTAGGGAGATCAGATTATTACCCGTATTTAAGTGGTACAGCACTGACATATTTAAAGAAAGAAAGCCATCTTCCCACAGGCAATGAGAAAGTAAACCAAAACATGTGTTGCCGAGGTCTGGCTTCTACTAGCCACCAAAACCAACCTGCTATCAGCTGCTGCTTCAGTAGCGGCAGGAGCTGGTCGTGGATGCGAATCCGCCGCAGGGCATCCGCCAGAGAAGACTTCAGCAGCGTGATCTCATCCTCCTGCGCCTGCAGACGCACTTCCATCATGGAGGCCCGGTCTGGGTAATCAGCACTGCCGTCTGCTGACACGTCATCTACAACCAGGCCAGAGTAGTCAAGACAAAATAGGCTCAGAGACGAGGCCTTACGGTGGTGGTCTGAAGCATGCCAAACAAACCGAGCCTGGATAAAAACTGCTGCTGCAAAGTAGATATCATTGATTCCATTTTAGGTGTTGTAGAACACACTTTACTTTCAGTTATTGCCTTGGGTTTTGTTAGCTTTTCCTCAAATGTGTTGAAACTATTGCAGGTTACTGGAGAAGTTGGCAAGAGCAGAATAAAATTTGAACATGATTCATTGACTTGATCAGTTAAGAAAATTAGATTTTTTTTTTTTTGCTGGTCACACATATGAGCTACTGAAACTGTTATTCAACAAATTTGTATGAATCAATAATACTGAGAAATCTAATATGAAACGTCGAATTTGTGCCAAGGTTAGAGGATCAACTATGGTTATTGGAGATAAGCAAAGTTAATTGTAATTCTGATTAATTTGATTATGCAATTTGAGTGATTTTGGAGGATACCATTTCAAGTGAAAAAGAATGCTTTTGCTATGACATGGTTTTTAAAACGTAAGATCTACCAATTTACAAGTTGTGTTTGCATGTGTGTATATGTATACATCATTATAGTGCTAAGGCCAGAAAGTGTGCACCTTCTCTTTTGTGGCCCTTTTCCTGTGGTTCTGTCTGTGCATGCATGCTGTGTGGGATGTTATAATAAACTGATTAGCTGTCTCCTTATTAAATTATTTGTTTCAAAAGCACAGCCACTTTCCAGATACTTCTTATGGTATCTTGTATTAAGGAGGAACAGAATGAACTCAGCTGGTTTAATATTTCTTATACTGAATTGTTATGTATTGGCAAGGGTCCTTGTTGAAGGTTTTAAAAAGGAAATATACAGGAAGCATCATAATAAAAAACTCAAAAGCAATATGCCTACAAATGCAAAGAAATGTATATTTTAAAAACCATCATGTTTCTGAGAATCATTGTTTTCCATCTGTGAAAATCATGCCTTAAGAAATTCAAGCTGTCAGAAAATCCAGAGGAAGTGCAATATAGTTATGACCAGTGATTTTCTTTTGGGTCAAGATTCCATGTAATTTTCCCGCTCCATTTCGCAACTGCAATGATTATGAAATATATCTTCCAGTAAAACATAACAGAGAGAAAAAAACAAGCAGACACTTGTATGAGGTCTCTGGCACCTTTCTCCAACTTTAAAAAAAAACTATCATTCCATTCACTCTCTCTCTATATATATGTTTATATATATAGTGCCCTCCACAATTATTGGCACCCCTGTTTATGCTGTGGTTGAGGACTTCTAAAAATTCTCCTTTTTTTTTTAAAACAACATAGAACCCGAATGAAAAAAAATTGAAAAATTCAGCCTTTTTTAAGTACATTACTTTAGTGGTCAAAATAATATCACACATTTAAATAATAAAAAACGTGAAATCATGTGTCCCACAATTATTGGCACCCCTGATGTTGATACTTTGTAAAAAACCCTTTTGCCGACAAGACAGCACTTACTCTCCTTCTAAAACATTTCACAAGATTGGAGAACACAGAGAGAGGGATATTTGACCATTCTTCTTTGCACAATCTTTCTAGATTATCCAGTGTCCTCTCTTATGCACTCTCCTCTTTAGCTCTCCCCACAGGTTTTCGACTGGATTGAGGTCTGGGGACTGAGATGGCCATCGGAGGACCTTGAGTTTGGGACTGCTGAACCATTTTTGCGTAGATTTTGCCACATGTTTCAGATCAATATTCTGCTGAAAGACCCAATGACGACCCATCTTCAACTTTCTGGCAGATGCCATTGGGTTTTTATTTAAAATGTCCTAGTATTTCAAAGCGTTCATAATGCCATGCACCCTAACAAGGTTCCCAGGGCCTTTGGAAGAGAAAATGGCCCACAGCATCACAGAACCTCCAACATACTTCACAGACGGCATGAGGTGCTTTTCGGCATACTCATCTTCTGTTTTACGCCAGACCCATTTAGAGTGTTTGTTGCCAAAAAGCTCAATCTTAGTCTCCTCTGACCAAAGCACACAATCCCAGTTGAAGTCCCAGTGCCGCTTAGCAAACTGTAAAGAGGGTCTGATGGTTGTTTTGGAGACTTTGTGACCCCAATATTCCACTCTTTGATGCAATTGTATGAAAGTGAGCTTAGGACTTGTTTTACTTCCCTTACCATCCTCCTCACTGTGCATTGTGGCAAGATAAACTTGGGACCTCTTCCAGCCTTGTTTGTCACTGTTCCAGCTGTTTTAAACCTCTTAATGAGTCTTCTGACTGTAGATATGGGCAAGTTATTGAGTGGCTATTTTCATGTAGCCATTGCCTGACTCGTGAAGGTTGAAACACAACTGCTTTATTGTAAGGTGTGTTCTCTTGTCTTTGCCATGTTGACAAATGGGTAAGAGAATTATGCCTGAAGTCATGAATTACTAAGTAAAAGTTCCTAGATACCCTGAGCAACTTTAGCAACTACAGAAAAACATATTTAAAGGAAATCAATTACATTTTTCAGCATAATTGTTAGGCGTGCCAATAATTACGGGACACATGATTTCACGTTTTTTATTTTCTAAATGTGTTATTTTATTTTTACCACCAAAATAATGTACTTAAAGAAAAGGTTGGATATTTAGTAATTTTTTGCATTTGGGTTCTATTTTGTTTTTAAAAAATTTAGAATTTTTAGACGTCCTCAACCATATCTTAAACAGGGGTGCCAATAATTGTGGAGGGCACTGTATATCACGTCAGTTACTCTTATTATTAAGTTCAAGAGAGTTTTAAATTGTTCCTACAGACTGGATAAGACGTTTGTGTTATCAGTCTTTGAACCTACTAAATCCTAGTTCCAGTACTCCAGATGTTTCTGGATGTTTGCAGGCCTTAGCAATGACTTCTAAAAAGCTATTTCCCCCTAAGCCTTCTTCCAAAAGTCATCTGCCTATGCTCGCTAAAGTTTTCAACCCCCATGATGTATGAGAATTCCTACTTATAGCTCCGGGCAGCTGAAAATTCTTTTAACTCATTGTACTTAATGACATAGGAGCATACTGTATTCCATTTTAAGGGTAATGTAGGCTATGCTGGGGAAAGCTAACTGTCATGTTGGATGAACCACAACCACAATAAATAGCTCTGTTATTGGCAAAAGGAGCAGTTTGGTTTGTTGGCAGTTTGGGTTTTATGGATGAGATGAATGGCAGCCTTAATTGTCTGCCCTTACTTGCTTTGGAAGTGGCAATGGGGAGGTTTGAAGTGGGTTTTGAGGAGCAGACAAAAGGCTCATTCAGGTGCGTACTCACTATCTACAGTGTTCCTTCCTTCCATCAAGTTATTTCTCTACCAGGCAGAGGACTTTAAGAAAAACTAAAGCATTTCAAAATGTATTTTCTGATCATAGTAAGTGCATGTATGAATGATTAGGGGCTGCATGGTGGTGTGGTGGACCTGGGAACTTCCTGTGTGCAGTTGGCTTTTTTTCTTCTTCTCATGTGTATGCTGGGGCTCTCTCTGGGAGGTCCGGCGTGCTCTCACCATTCAAAAACATGCATGTTGGGTAAATTGAAGGCTCTAAATTACCAGTGAGAGTGAGTGTTTGAGTAGTTGTTCGTGTCTGGGTAGCGGTGTGATGGACTGGTGACATGCCCTGGGTGCAACCAAACTCTTACCCAATGTCAGCTAGGCTTCACCCCCCCATGACGCTACCAGGAATAAATGTAATTTACAATAGATGGATGGCTGGATATGGAAATGTATGATACTATTTAGCTAAGAATGTTTTACTTCTGGTGACTTTGGTCTTTAAAAGGGTTAATTACTGTACAGTAAAGAGGCTATAACTGGGTAAATAACTGTACATTAAAGCCTGTGTATGTCATTGAGTTTATGTCTTTTTTCACTGATAAAGTGGCATCGGTCAGGCAGAATATCTATAATATGAATATGCCTTTTGATGATGCCTGTGCTCCTCCGGCACAGACTGCTGTATTCGAGCGGTTTGAGACCATTTCTTTGTCTTCTTTTACTAAGGTGGTTAGTGGCATGAAACCCACGAACTGTCCCTTAGATATTATTCCAGCTAAGTTTTTGAAGGAGGTTCTGGGCTCCGTTGGGCCAAGTCTGCTTGTTTTTATCAACACTTGCCTTAGCTCAGGGTCTGTTCCAGCTGCCTTCAAGCATGCTATGGTTAGGCCCCTTATAAAAAAACCGCATCTTGACCCTTCTGTGCTCTCCAATTTTAGACCTGTCTCACACTTGCCTTTTCTTTCTAAGGTTTTAGAAAAAGTTGTTTTTATTCAACTACAGACATTTTTGGAGATCAATTCTATTCTTGATAAATTTCAGTCTGGTTTTAGACCACGACATAGCACTGAGTCGGCACTGTTAAAGGTGCACAATGACATTGCCTTGTCTGTCGACGCTGGGATTCCCGCTGTGCTGGTACTGCTAGACCTCACAGCAGCCTTTGATACAGTCGACCACGCAGTCCTTGTATCCCGCCTAGAGCACGTCGGCATCCGTGGCACCGCTCTCCAGTGGTTTAGGTCATACCTGGCAAACAGGAGTTTCTCTGTCGCAATTGGTGACCACTGCTCCTCAAAGGAATCACTGCTTTGTGGGGTGCCACAGGGATCTATTCTCGGCCCTATTCTGTTTTCAATGTATATGCTACCTCTGGGATCAATTATAGAAAAACACAACCTGTCTTTTCACTTATATGCCGACGACTTGCAGTTATATTTGCCCTTGAAACCAAACGAAAACACCGCACTTACAAAACTACTGGACTGCATCACAGATATAAAGCAGTGGCTGTCGCAGAACTTTTTGCACTTAAATGACAGCAAAACTGAATGCATTCTGTTTGGTTCTCCATCTTTGTCAAATGTTCTCACCACAAACTCTAGCAATCTGGCCCCCCTTTTTAAATCTCATGTCAAAAATCTTGGTGTAACATTTGATAATGGGCTCAAATTTGACAAACAGATTATCTCTGTTGTCAGCTCAAGCTTTTTTCAGCTCCGTCTTCTGGCCAAAGTCAAGTCCTTTCTCAGTCGGCAGGACCTCGAGAGGGCAATCCATGCTTTTATTAGTTCAAGGCTGGATTACTGCAATGCCCTTTACGTTGGCCTCAGTCAATCATCGATTTCCCGTCTCCAACTTGTGCAGAATGCTGCTGCCCGACTTTTAACAACCACGTCCAGACGTGAGCACATTACCCCTGTGCTGTCGTCACTCCACTGGCTTCCAGTCCGTTTTAGAATTGATTTTAAACTCCTGCTGTTTGTTTTTAACGCCATTTATGGCTTGGCCCCTCCTTACTTGTCCGAGATTTTAACTTTTCGCAGTTGTGACAGAGCCTTGCGCTCCTCGGGTCAGCTTCTGTTAGACGTCCCCAAGTCAAGACTCAAACTGTGGGGCGATCGTTCTTTTGCCGTCGCTGCTCCCAGACTGTGGAACAAACTACCCGCTGCACCACTACAGCATTTTTTGTTATTTCTGTATGTTTTGTATGTCTTTTTGTATTGTTTTATGGCTTTGTTGTAAAGCACTTTGAGTACCATTTGGGTATTGTAAAGGGCTATACAAATAAAATTGATTGATTGATTGATTGATTGATTGATTGATTGGCCTTTTAAAGCCTTATCCAAGAAAAAAGTTATGTTTTTTTTGTTTGAAGTCTTTATTTGGCCCCGATAACAAAATATGAAAAAAATTATAATAATTTTTTAATAGTCCTAATATATTACTATGCAATAAATCAAAGTTATTTCCGTGTGGTCTTCTGCCCGCTGTAATCAGGTATGTCTGACAGGGTTTTGAGCAAAGTTTGAGCAAAGTTTTTACAATTAAATGATGCTCAGTAAAGAACTGAAAACATTTTTCTATGACTGCATGACAAGCTCCTTTGAGAAGAATGAACTATAATGTATTTACAGGGGGGGACTGAATGTATTGGACTAATCTGGATTCACATATGTTTGATTTTATAATGGTTGAATTAAAAAGAATTGGATTAATTGGACATAAAGAGAAATAAATTGAATTAAATCTAATTTTTACATTTTCTCACATGTATTTAAGTGGTTAAGGACGGTTGAGGTTCAGAAATGATGAAATATGGAGATGTCTCAGTGTAAGCTTGGACGACACAAAACAACTAATAACTGCATGGAGCCCTATAAGATATGTAGTTGATCTGCTGATTTAAAGACATGACTTCTGTTTAAAACCCATTTTTTGTTTTTTACTGCCCACAAATTGTAGAGCAAAATATTAGCTGCATGGTGCTAAAGTTTATTCCCAGAGTTGGGAACAATCTTCTCTTATCAAATATCAGGCTGAAGACTAAGTTTACATGACAGCTGAAAAAAGGTTCAATATTTATGTTATTTTTTTTAAAAACAGAAGAACATTTTGCATTGCTCCCTTGTAAAAATGTGGTATGCGTTACCAGAAATATTGAAGAAGAAGTCATCCCTGCTTTGGCTCTTTATTTTTTGCCTTGTGGAGAACCACTGAAGGTCATATGTTCTTTGTACACATTTTAGAGGAACTACAACCAAGCGGTCCTGACTGTTTAGAGGGAGGAACTTCTCAGCTGGTCTGTTCTTATTTCTAAAAGAAGCCAAACACGTCACGAGCTGGGGTTTTGTTTCGGTTAACTTTTTTTTATGTATCTCTACGTCATTCTTGTTTTGTGTTCTTTGTTACTTGGTTCTAGTTTCAGTTATCCTCTGTTTTTCTCTGTTTGGGTTCATTTGGTGTCTATTGTGGCTTCCCGTTTCCCTGAGTCTCAACCACTTTCGTTCTTGTCTGTCCTTTCCCACTGACTTTCCTGATCAGTTTGGCTGCCTGTAGCTATGCTTTCTCACCAACTCTGATCACGCTCCATCCCTTTACGCCTCTCAGTCTTTTCAGTGTCTGTCTGTTTCCAGCATCCTCACGTATTCACCTGTCTTTCCCTCCCGTCGCCCTTCCATTCCACGTTCCTCATCTTCAAGGGTCCTTAGTTATTTTTTTCCAACTCAGTTTTAGGACTTTTGCTTCCCCAGTCTAGTTTAGATTTTTTGTATTTCGCTTGATTTCATGGTAAAACTTCCTCGGATTTCTGTGTTCCCTCACTGGCCCTGTATTTGGATCCCTAAAATCTACCCCTAAACTGTGACAGGACACAAGACCCAGGTATCGGCTCCTAACAGCTCCCGTCATATAAAGCACAAATCACAGGGCACAATGTGCACAATAGAAAATCAGCTTTTCACACTGCTTTTGCATTTTGGTGAATTTGTGCAAACAATAAATGATGTCAGAGTGTTTTAAGTCATATGTTCTTGTTCATACAAGACTGTCTTTACCTAAATAAAGACCTAAAAAGAGTGTGGCAATAAAGCCTAGGAAATATTCTTCCATTGGTGGAAACTATCTTTTGCATCTTCTCTGGAATCTTTTTATAAGTACTCAACCTTTTTAAAACAACTTCCAACTGAAACTTGATGATGGCTAAATTTAAGAACCTAAGTAGAAAATCCAGTTTGCCTGGTCCAATACATTTACAGCCCTGCTAGGAAAAGCAGTAAAAGCCTGAGGCCATATTTACAGCATTTGCTCCCTCTTAAAGCCTAACCGCAACACAAGCGGAGATGATCAGCAATCAGATCAGTTCCCATTTCATGCAGAAGTGGAACTGGACCCCCACACACAAACTACTTCCCCACTCTTCTTTCAGACTCTGGGTTTCTTTCCTTCTTTTTTTTTTTTACATTTACAAGCAAGGATGACTCATAGACGTTTGGCAATAGTTCAGGATAAGCAGGAATTTGATCCACTTTGAAACCACAGCAGCTGCACTGTAATTCTCACTAATATTACTTACTCCGACCACAAAACTGTTACTTCAACAAGATTGTTACATCTATTTGAAAAATAACATACTTTGGTATATTACTTTATCGATTCAACAGTATCCTGAATCACACATTCTGAGTGTGGGTGTTCACATATACTTTCCCAATATGTATAAGTGGGTAAAAGAATTGCCAGGAAGTAATAAATTAACGCAGATTAAATGTGTAACAAAAATCAGATTTCTTTTCTCATATTTTAGAACAATCTGTCTGATCTGTCTGATCTTTACAGATCATAGTAATCTAGTCGTAATTATGAATGCATAAATACTCCACAATGCTAATTACCATAGGTTAACTATGTTCAGTACAGATTAATGTGTACAGAGCTACTTTAAACACCCATTTTATATTCAAAAGAAAAATATTGAATAATTAATTAGACTGTTACAACTTTAATTACAACAATCATCAGACCATTATGTTCTATTTATTGTTGCATTACCTAAAGTGCCAACTTTAATTGCTGCCTACACTGATATTCTTGGATTATGGTCACTATTGTCTGTCTTTGATAGTGGCAAATAAATCATCGTCGTACTGAACTGCTGTAGGTATTAATCAGACAGAGAATCATAAACCAAGCCTTTGGTGTAAATTCTTGGACTTTGTAACTTCACAGATGTTTCTCATGCAGAAAAAAAAAGTCCTAAAATGACTTTGTAGACACAGTCAACCTTCCAGGTTGTTGTGATTCTTTCTCTCTGAAATCAAGTTGATCAACATTTTCTGAACTTAACCACTGTCGTATTTGCTGTACATGTGTGTGTGGGAGTACAGGGATTGTCAGGGCTCGCCTGCTTCCCTTGGACAGCTGCAACGAGGCCAACATCAACACCAAAACATGTCTCAGCATATCTATGTTCTTCTGTTCCAAGTGAAACAGAATGGTTCGCTTTGAAAATCAGCCAACAGGAATATAGACTGCTTTAATTTGTGCTGTTTCTACAAGTAGAACTAAGCTTACAAGCAGTTGACCTGTTTGGCATACATCTATACACAACAAGGCTGGAAAAATTACCTCAGGAATTGAAACACCTCTGTAGACAAGATAAAATAACGGATTTATTTAATCATTCAAATGCAGTCTATTCTTAATAACCCATCCATGAGACTGAAGCACAATTTCAGGTCATATTTGCCCTAAGACTCCATTCAGCTAACCCAGTAAACAAAAACAGGTTATCTTTAACCTTTGATTTAGCATATGTAGACATTTTTTTTATTTTATTTGCCAAAATACATATTTTGTTCTTGCATCATATATAAATCATTGAGTATGAGACCTGGCATTATTTTCTAGTCTGCAGTAGTTAGCTTTTGTTGAGACTGAGAGTCGTGAGGATACTGGGAGTCTTGCAGACTAACATTTCTGCAGCACTGTTGCACAGACTCTCGCCATTCAGTCACACAGGCTTTTTCAAATGGTTTGTGTACAAGTTAACAAAAGCCTCCCTCTTTTACCCAACTTGATTACAGACACGCACAAAGTAGAAGCAGATGATAGCAGCTGGCGTGTGTTTATCCTAAAAGATGGCAGCACGCACAGGTTCAGCAGCTCTTTGCTCTCCACTCTGGTGCTTGGTTTTATTCCTTCCAGTTTTCAGTATTTACAGGAATGCGGATTTTTGCAAAACAACCATTAAGTACAGTCGCCAGGACTTGATCGACCTTGGCCTGAGATTAAAACTCTCCATAAACGTGGAATATCAGCGCGTGCACGACATTCCCAAGGACCTGGTTTCCTCTACCAAGACCTGACGCTGCAGTCCAGCTAACACCGGCATGGAAGGAACAAAAACCCGGGTAAGGGCAGAGGTTGGGGGCTCTACATAGACAACAACCCGTGCTGTAACAGTAGATTCATACCATTTGCTGCCCTGATTTACAGATTTCTCTACAAAGGAAGCTAAGAGTGGTCATTTTGATGCCTGTTTACATCCCTCCAGATGCTATGTTAGCCTGAGATGGCTCTCCCTCACTTTTTTTTTAAACATGAAAAACCTCCAGAAATACACAGAGACTGTATTTTCCAACATCAAAAACTGCGTAGACACTGCCACAATCTGACTTTTCCCACAACAGAAACACTGGATGACCAATGAAGTACAGACACACAAATTCTGAGAAACCTTCAGGTCTGGTGGCAAAACCCTCTACAGAGCGGCCAGAGCAGAGCAAAGAACAGGCATCAAAGAGACCAAGAAGCCTTAAAAAAGGAGAATTTCCACAGAAAGTAACCCAAAAGAGATGCTGCAGAGAATGCACCACTGGCGGAGGAATCTAAATCGATTCTTTGCTCATTTTGAGACTGTAAGACCAGACACAGTCACACTTCATCAACCAGCCTCCAGCAGCGTCACACTGACACTTGAGGAACATGGAGAGTGAGACGGCCACCGTAATCCCCGTCCTCCAGAAGTCAACCACCAACAGTCTGAATGATTACAGGCCTGTGGCCCTTACCCCGCTGGTCGTGAAATGCTTCAAAAGGCTGATTGCAAAACGCATCAGAGACTCGCTCCTCTCCACGCTGGACCTTCACCAGTTCGCCTCTAGAGCAAAGCGCTCCACAGAGGACGCCATCGCCGTAGCTCTTCCCCCTGCACCGAGCCACCCGGAACACCAGGGTGTGCGGTGCTTTTGGCTTTTGACTAAATCTCAGCCTTCAATACAACAATCTCAGATATCTTAACTGACAAACGTTCCCACCTTGGGCTCTCCGCTAACATCTGCAGATGGATTAAGGACTTCCTGAAGGACCGTCCACTAACCTCTCCCCCACCATCACAGGCCACACTGGCACCCCACAGGGACATGTTCCGGGTCCACTCCTGTACTCTCCGTACGTATACACCGGGACACAGACCCGTTTCTCCAACGGCACCCCGTCAGCGAGGTGTTCCTCTTTAACCCGTTGCCTCCTAGGGAGCGCTACAGGTCACACAAAGCCAGTACAAATCCATTCAGAACATTCTTCCCCATAAAAACACACTTACTCCACATGTGAACTCTACCCATCCCTCCAACCGTACGTGCAATATACTTGGCTAAGTGGCTAACACTTGTAAACACTTTACAGGACACACTTGGTTTTGTTTTTTTAAATTGAAATCTCCACTTATTGTTTTATTATTCTGACTGGATATAGGTGGCACTAATTTGGAGCCGGACTGCCAATTTCGTTGCATGCAATTCATTCAATGGCGATAAAGGCTGTTGTTGTCTTTCTTACTAATGGTGTATCTTCGGTGACTCAATTGCTACCTCTTCACCAGCAGTCGCTCGATTTCTGTGATTCATTAAATTTCCAAAAATGAAAGCTTTCAGAATTTTCCAGACAAAGTACTCTACAGTTTTTATATCAGCCTTTTAAAAGCAAACCCATCTTTTGCACATTATCCAGCAAATATAACTAAGGATCCCGTCTAACACCCACTACACAGTGTCCACCTAATCCTCCTCATCTTAATGATGTCAGCCTCTTAAAAGGTGCTGAAACACACCTCTCTCTGCTTATGCGTTCCCTCTCTGATTTGCCACAGCCTAACATCCTGTACACCTCTGCACAAAAGTTTGAGGCCGCATCTGAGAAGAGAAACAGAGAACGGCGACCTGAGTGAGAGGCGGTTTCTCTTCCCCTTCTGCATACCTGTGACTGAATGCACAGTTTGTTGGGTCTGATTTGTGTACGCTGGGAAAATTTTACGCTGGGCTTCTAAAAGAACAACAAATCCGGGCCAAATCTCCCCCTTGTTTCCCCAAAATCACACACAAACAAGTGAAATATGAAATATATTCAGGTATTTGGGATAAAGTTGTTTAAATGTTAATTTTAACTCCTTTATAATAAAAAAAAACAGATTTGTATATGACTATATTAATGTATAAATATTAAAATGAATAAAACTAAATTAAATATTGTTTTCTCTACTTTTTGCATAAGATTGCAGAGGCTAAAAATTGTATAAATGGTAAATAAAAGTTGTTCTGTACTATTTGTCCTTTCTTTATTCAGTTTACTCAGTCCATTGTTTTTGTTCCCCAAACTGCCAATTCCAATTATCCTCTCCTTC